CATTATAATCACGTGGAAGGATAGTTCCTCAACAGCCCCGGATAAACGAGTATTGAAGATGCCAGGAATCATCATCAACTCTGTTGGGTATGGGCACATTTGTCGGAAGGTCAAATGTGCCCTTCCCAAAACAAGTCTTATTTCCCCACCTCAAGATCGGAATACGTTCCAGAGGGGACGAGGAAGAAACGTTACCAGGCATGTCCACAATAACAAATAAACCCCGTAACGCAGGGAGCATCCGGCACTCGAGTGATAATCTTGAAAAGCTAACAGGCACGAAGGAAAGAACGCACATGATACTCAAAGCTACCAAACTATCAATAACGACGAACGTTCCGTCACTGTAACAATACATGCATTTCCGATGTTGGCCTTCAGTAGCCACCCGCGTACCAAACCTTGATAAACACTGCTGTCCATGGAGGGTCATCATACTCGACCGAGGGATCCCATCACGTGTGTGGGTCACATTGTTACGCAGAGAAATGGCGCCTCTTTCTACCGTTCAATACACGAATATTCCCACAACAACTCGATCCAGACCCTGACGCCTGCTGTATATTTGGAGTTTACGTGTCTCTCTCCCCGTGGTCGTGAGGATTTTTCTCCGGGTCCTGCGATGTTTCATCTCCTCGTTTAGAATGAACATCACGCGTTTGGAGTATTTGCTTTTGGAGTTGGAGCGTTCTTACCCCGTGCCCCTACTAGACATCTGTGAAAAAGAGCTTCATAACTCATCAGATTCCTCCAGTATAAATATATATTCAGATTCTGATTCTGTCTGACCGGCGGAGACACAGAGGGGCCCTCTCGAGCTCCATCTCGTTGAGGCCCTTCGCAAACAGCGGCTTGAGCAACGCAACTGCAGAGCTGTGCCTTTAACCCCCACACGCCCGTGGTATGCTTCTTGCTCCTGCCTCGCGTGTTCGCTGCGTACGCGCGCGGTGTTCATCACGCGGTTGCCAAACGGCAACGTGTGGGCTCCGTTCATCTTCATTCCTTCACAGGAGGGGGGGGGGGGTTGGGAGTTGGGGGGCGCCGCAATGTAAATCGCCGGCTATGAATCATTCTCACGGCGTGCGCGCGTCGTAGATTACGCACGAGCAGCGTACGGCAAGACGAGTGATGGAATCAACCGATATAATCACATCTCCATCGTATCCCATACAGCCTCCACCACTACTATTATCACAAGCAGCAGCCACGATCGATCCACTGCTGGGTGAAGGCTTCCTGCCCAAGCTGTCACAGTCCACACGGTTCTGAGATGCAACAATCCACATCGACTGGCATTGGTTCTCAACCTATGTTGGGCTACTATGTTACCCCCTCTCGTTGAATGTTGTTTCAACCGATTATACCACCCTTGCCTGACCCAACATGGTTCTGAGAAATAAATGTACGAATAATGAACATCGATATTTTAAGCAATTGGCCATTTCGTGAGGTGTCCTAGCTAGCGAATACAAATTCAACAGGCGCTCTTCATGCATGATGTGATTTCTTCCCGCTCGCCGATTACTCTTGGAAACCCGCATTGTTTACAATCAATGAGTTTAGGAAGGTCTTTTATATCGTTCTAGGTTACCACGTGGATTAACATTTTATCGTAGTTATTTTATATAAGCAGAATTACAGTGTATACGTGATTATTCACCAATGATTCTTATGAATGGCAAAATTTCACACCGTTTAAATCACCTCCAAGTACCTCCTGGGACATTGCGACCTACCCCCCAGGGGGTCCGCGTTACCCCCACCCCCTGTGGTTGAGAACCACTCCACTCAACCCCCTGCATGTGAGTCGACTTCGTCGCTCCATCTCCGTTCGGTGGCCGACCTCTCGGACGCGTTCCATCATTTCCCGTCACTCTGTCACTCCTCTTGACCAACGGCCGTCACGTCCCCTACCTGGTCACATGTCCCACACATGTTCTCCACTCCAAGTGTTTCTCTCTATTTGTCTCTCGTTGCACCCATCCCAGGCATGCATCTCTCTTCCAAGTTGCTCGTGGACGTTAATTGGCCACGTTTGTGGACCATAAATGCACCTGTACTTGTGTCAGGCTTTGTAAAGGTCCGTTGAAATGAAAGTTGTTTGAACGATATCTGGCAAAAATCGGTAACCGTTATTTAGAATCGATCACCGCCACTGCTGGCAGAAGCGCCTTCCCTAGACGGAGCTCTAGCCCATCTAGAGGGTACGTGGGCCTACTCTTCCACTCTGGACAGACGTGTTGGAAGAAGTTAGAGGAGGACCCACACCATACGCGAGCTACCGATCGACAGTGGGGTTGTACCTACTTTCGTTTAAGGGATGCCGCGGTGGCGAGATGTTAACTACCTTGCCCGGTATGCAGGAGGTCGTGGGTTCGATCCCGACCCTGATACCTGTTGCATATGTAGTGACAGGAGGGATAATTACGGATATGGGTGCGTTATATAACAGCCAACCATAAGGTGGGTGTAACTGAGCTAAAGGTCAGAGGCGGGGATCAGTCGGGAAGCTCTCGCAACCTGCTCGAAGGTTCTAGAAGGGGGCGTGGCCGGAGGTGGGGCTTGGCCACGCCGAGGAGTATATAAGGGGGACGTAATCGGAGGTTCGGGGGTTCGGGGGGTCGTGGGGGTCCGTGTCCTGGCTGCCGTCGCTGTCTTAGCATCTCTTCTCCATCGCACGGCCACATGGCCGACCTGCTGTACGGCTCCCATCGTCGTTGTCGCTGTATTAGTCAGCCAGCTATATAGTTGGACGTCGGCGATGGAGCTGTATGAGTGGGTCAGCTATGCGTAGCCCAATATCTATGTGTTGCTCAGTGATTGTGCCTGTAAAGTGTGAGAAATAATCAAGGAGCCCTCTACACGTCTTGTCTCGGAAGTCACCAATACACATATTTGGAGTTTGCATGTTCCCCCCGTGCTCACGTGGAATATTTCTCCAGGTACTCTGGTTTTGCGTTGAGAGTATTTGGCTGCTACTATAAATTTCCACGTGATAAGCCACTTCGTTCAGCTATCATTTGTGGCCAGGTCGCTTCTGAAAAAGAGCTGTATAGCTCAGTGGGCCTTACCTGGTAAATTAAAATAGTGTATAGTTTATAGATGGTTTACATGCCCTGTGTTTATATTGCCGTGCCGGGAGATCGCAGCGACGACCTCTAAATCACGTGAACAACTACAACACGACAGCATTCCCCCTCCCCTTTGTGAACGATGCCTTCCGTTAGCAATCCATTAGCCATCCATTAGCCATCATTATGGCCATCTGGGGTTACCTGGGATTTCCATCTGGGGTTATCTATATATATAAAATCGCTAATCTGTCTGTCTGTCTGTGTGTCGCCGGACCATACGCAGTTTCATTGGACGGCGGATGCCCCTGGCAACGGGTAGCGACGCATTCGCTGCGGGATGGACGCCATTTTTAATTCCCGTTAAAAATATGCGCACGCATTAACACGCGACTCTGAGGTAAATTCATCAAAGTTTCACGTCCTCTTCACTCCCCCCCCACCCCAATGTGTGCAATTACTATTATAGGGTCGGTAGATAATAAAATTATAGCGATTAAACAGTATTTTTGTAGCGCTGGGGGGGGGGGGGGGGGTAACGGCCCGGTACCCAGCCTCAGCCGGGTGGGCAATTTAGGCGAGGCCAGAGGCTCTGCACGGTACTAGGCCTCGACACCCCACCACACTATAGGCCGTACATATTACTGCACAGCGGCCGAGGAGATCGTGGCTGGGGGGGGGGGGCAGGGGTAGCAGCCCATCTGTGTATATATGTAAGGTTATTAAGAAATATATTTTTCACCCGGGCAACGCCGGGTACTTATGCTAGTCAGAGTGTATACGAGGACTTAAAAGCCGGGGGTAGAGTGTGAATCACCTATGCTGTGGACAGGGTAGCCCAAAAGTCAGGGCACATAGAGGTTATTTTTATACGGGGTGGACCAAAAGTCAGGACACGGAGGGTTATTGAATTTATTTTAACATTGGCATTGATACAATTTAATTATTTATTCTTGAAGTTAGTATTGTATCTGTAATCATTATTTATATTTATTATCTTCTTACTGTGGAGTCACCTCAAGTCCGTCGTCGACCAATAATCATGATCCATTTTTAAAAGTCTTACATTTCATTTCAAAACATTTGTTAAAATACATGATGTATTGATATAATTATAATAACCCTATATGTCCTGAGTTTTGGGCCACTCTGTACAACATGCAATGGTCCCGTATGAAGGCCGGGACGGCACAGGAGGGGGTGGGTGGTCAGCACCACGCCCGGCCGCCTTTGTCTCCCCAGTGGCGATGTTTACACACCGCACCAGGTACTCATTTAAGGCTGAGTCGACCTAGGGGAGGCCCAGAACCAATTCAGATAATCATCATTGCTGTTGGCCGTGAGCGGGAATCGAACCCGGGTCGCCGGTTTGGAGAGCATCGCGCTAATCGATGCACCACGAGACAAAGACACAGGTTCCCCGTATACGCCGCCTATTAACGGACTTTGGGGCAAGTGTTGTTAGCGAGTAGCACCTTTGAAAGCCGGCACGGCACACGAGGGGGTGGGTGGCCAGCACCACGCCCACACACACACACTTACACACACTTACATACACACACTTACACACACCCCAACATGCGCGCTCATGCTTTCCCTTAGGTGTCGCGAGAAGGCGCTCGACAATTTGCGCACGAAGCATTTTCACCGCGCGCGCTGCTGGAGTCGCCGTTTCCGCTGCTGTCGCCGCCGCTGCTGCTGCCACGACTGCCAATCAACCTCTCGCGATGGTGAGTAGAGTTCCACTCACGTGGTCCAGCAGAGGTACACGGTCAATGTATTTTGTTTGAGTAATTGCGTCAATGGCTCAACGATGTGACTTGCAGGGGAGGAGCGGTGGTGCAGTGCTTAACGCACTGCGCTATGAGTCCGCTTCCACCGAGTTCGATTCCTGACCACGGCACGCATTAGTAGTGCGTGACACCCGGTCTTGGGTTGGCTTGCCCATCCCACGGCCGCCTCCACTAACGGGCACTGACCAGCTTCGTGAAGTATGGTCAAACAACCCCAACGAGCAATGCGGGCGTGTGGAGTGTGGCTTCATCTAACGGTGGGTAGATGAAGGGTTGCGAGTTGTTTTTGTTGTTGAGAGGATGTGCAAATAGATTTGTTTAAGTCCATTGAAAGGCGACTGAGCAGAGGCGCTGTGCAGAGAACAATGGGCGCTCTGGGTGTGTATATTTTGTAGATTTTAATCTCTTCGCAAACAGACGATCGTGACCGGGTGACCGAGTCACTAATGTGAACCTAGAGATTTTCCATGAAGGCTGGGAAGCTGAACATATTTTTTAACTCGTCATCGTGAAATCTCCGCTCTTGTAACCGGTAACCAGAAACATCATTACAACCAAAATATTCGTGTTTTAAAATATAATTATCCCCCCCTTCCCCACACCGCGCAGCCTATTAGAAATGTAGAATTGCTAATAAATGATGTCCAGAGAGTGCCCGCTTATTCAAATGCGTCGCTCACTTGTTTGAGACCAGAAAAAATATTCGAGTGAACCATAACCCCACCTGGTGATCAAATAATGTCGTCATTTTAATTGTGGCACTGAAACGTGGGGATTACGCATCACGTCTCGAGCAAACAAAAAACACTCGTGGGTGGGGGTTTGCATCGGTCTCTGCGACGTTCACCCCCAGCATGGTGCGGTGGGTGATTGCAGGCGTCCGCCGATGAGCATCGATCACGGCACACACAACGAGGTTTGATGGCCCAGATCATCCCATCCCAGGACCCTCCTTCATCGCGGGCGTTATGTTGAGACTCTGTGAGGTTCTCTTGGATATAATGGAAGATGAAGGCGCAGCCCTGCAATTACTTATTCACGACGCCACTGCATTTTGGCCAACTCTTCCACGTAGACCAGACGTTTTGGAGGAGGTGGGAGTTCCCACATTTTACCCCACTACACGCCACCTGCTGATCGACCAAATGTGCTGTACCCCTGTGTACTGCTGCAATGCAGAGGTCGCCATCGTTCCAGGCTGCTGACCACGACAGCACGGCACCAGCAGCATCCCGCTAGATAACAACATCGCATTAGTGTATTGCCCGAGGAGCGGTGGCGCTGTGGTTAGCGCACTGCGCTTCAAAACACGACCACCTGAGTTTGATTCCCAGCTAACAGCAGTGGCGATTTATAACTGAACCGGCCCTGGACCCCGCCAATAACAGCCCGTGATGACCAGTGTGGTGAAGTATGGCCATACTCCATAACCAACAGGGTGTGGGAAGGCCTTCATCCAGCGGTGGATTGACAAAGGGCTGTCCCATGATGCATGTGATTCTACTGACCAGCCACATGGAGAAGGCCGTCAGGAGGGCACGCTTTGTCACCGAATCTGACGTGGGGCGGACGTCTTGGCGTTGAGCAGATGGGCACGTCTGTGGCCATCGATGCGTGCAGCTGTGATGCACCTGCAGACAGGGCCGGATTAACGCGTAGGGATTTCGGGAATATCGGGCACCCATCAAACTCAAGCGGGCACTGCCTCTATGCAGCATCTGCCCTGTGACGATCGTCTCGCCCCACCTGATCTCGCCTCTCTCATCTCGTTCAATGCCCCCCCTCGTCATCTTCGTTCCCAATCTTCTCTCTCTCTCTCTGTTCCTCCTTGGCCATGTGCCCACAATATCGTTTTCGGTCCTTCTCCCTGCCTGCACCCATCCACTGGAATCAACTTCCCTTGAACATTAAGCAGCACTGCCCATAGACTCAGCACTGCAGACTCAACACTGCCCATAGACACAACACTGCAACTAGACTCAACACTGCCATAGACTCAGCACTGCCATAGACTCAGCACTGCACCATAAACTCAACACTGCACCATAAACTCAACACTACCGATAGGCTCAGCACTGCCCATAGACTCAACACTGCCATAGACTCAGCACTACCCATAGACTCAACACTGCACCATAAACTCAACACTACCGATAGGCTCAGCACTGCCCATAGACTCAACACTGCCCATAAACTCAACACTGCCGATATACTCAACACTGCCCATAGACTCAACACTGCCCATAGACCCAACCCCCCTCCCCCCCCACCTGTACATTGAGAAGTCCCGCGCCTTAACCTTCCTTCGTGTCTCTCTCAAAGCATCGCCTTTGTATCCATCGCCCATTCCCTTCCTCTTCCCTCCCCTGGCCGCCGACTCCTGTCCGTCCCTCCCCGATCTTTTCCTAACCACCACGCACCCCTCTATCGTAGCCACCCATTCCTCATCCCTTGCATGCCACTACCAGCTAAATCATTTATTTGTTCATAGCGTTTTTTTTTATTGCGTTAAACGCCTTGATGAAAGGCGCTCTATAAATATGAAATAAGATTGGATCCTCTCGCAAGGGCGGTGGCAGTGGTGACTGTGGGGAGAAGTGGGGCAGTGGTTAGCGTGCTGCGCTTCGAATCCGGTTTGATTCCAGGTCACGGTGAACACCAGTGACGATTATCTGAACCGGTCCTGGGCCTCCCCTAGGTCGACTCAGCCTCAAATAAGTACCTGGTGCGGTGGGCAAACATCGCCACTGGGGAGACAAAAACTAAACTAAACTATGTTGTTATTTTACCAGGTAAGGCCCACTGAGCTATGAAGTTTTTTTCAGAAGCGACCTGGCCACAAATGATTGCTCAACGAAGTGGCTTATCACGTGGAATTGTATACCAGGGCGCAAAATCCTCTAAACGCATGTCGATTTTAAATGTGGAGAGAAAAACCGGAGGACCCGGAGAAAAATCCACGCAACCACGGGGCTATGCGTGGTGCTGGCCACCCACCCCCTCGTGTGCCGTCCCGACCTTCCATAGGTGCTACTCGTTAACAGCACTTGCCCCAACAGTGTGTTAAGGCTATACTGGGGGGTATCTTTATCTTTGGTGGTGACTGTGCATGACTCCCGAGCAGTACGGATTCATCAACACGTGCCTCAAGTCGCTGGTCATGGAGAAGTTCGGAGAGGAGACTTGGGAGAAGCTGCGGTGAGTGCTGCCCCCACTCACCCCTCTCCGCTCGTCAGACCGCTGCTGCTGCTCTTGACACATTCCATTCGGATGCACTGCTTTTTCGTGTTTCATGTGAAAATACGATAAAAAAAAATTCTGATCAGTCTTTGAACGATTAAAGGCAGGTGAAAGAGGAAAACAACGTTAAATAATTGTCTTTCCAAGGGGCAGGTTGATTAAGCTGCGTATGATTTGTTGATGGGGAATCTGCCTGTCTGCTGCCAGTGGGGTAATGGATAGAGCTGTGCATTTGCAATCCAGAGGATCTCTGACCGCTCAGCCACCCATCCGACTCTTGTTTTATATTTATTACTAGCTGTACTACCCGGCTTCGCCCGGGACTTGTATCTACCACGGCCGGCCGCCTTTGTCTCCCCAGTGGCGATGTTAATACGCTACAGTAGTTAAGTTACTCGTTTGAGGCAGAGTCGACCTAGGGGAGGTTCAAATAATCGTCACCGGTGGTGGCCGTGAGCGGGAATCGAACTGGGTTTGCCGGGTTGGTAGCGCAGCGTAGCGTTAAGCACTACACCCACCGCTCCTCACACACCACACACGCACAGACACACACACAGACACACACACAGACACACGCAGACACACACAGACAGAAACACACACACAGACAGCACGCTAACCACTACACTACCGCTCCCCACACACCACACACGCACACACACAGACACACACACAGACACACACACAGACACACACACACACAGACACACACACACAGGCAGCACGCTAAGCACTACACTACCGTTCCCCCTACACAACACACGCGCGCGCGTCCATAGGTACACATACACGCGCTTGCTGCAGACACACACGACTTTCAGGGTGCATACGGCAGTAAACGACTGAAATAATAAAGCGGCAATGCTGTGTAAGGAACGCCTTAGACCCGCATTATACATTTGTGTAATGCGAGCGTAAACACACAAACACACACAAACACATACACAATACACACACACATACATGCAGACACACAGACAGACACATAACACACATACATACACACACATACAAACACAGAAACACATACACACATACATAGACACACACATACATACACACGAACACATCCACAGACGTACATACACACATACATACAGGCACGCAGACATACACATAAACACATACAAAAAAACCCACATACATACACACACACATACATACACACAAACACATGCACACACATACATACACACATGCATACAGACACACAGACATACACATAAACACATACACACATACACATGACCCGGCTTCGCCCGGGACTTGGATCCACCACGGCGGCAAAACCGACATACATACACACACAGACATACACACAAACACATACACACACATACATACACACATGCATACAGACACACAGACATACACATAAACACATACACATGACCCGGCTTCGCCCGGGACTTGGATCCACCACGGCGGCAAAACCGACATACATACACACACAGACATACACACAAACACATACACACACATACAAACACACATGCATACAGACACACAGACATACACATAAACACATACACATGACCCGGCTTCGCCCGGGACTTGGATCTACCACGCCCAGCCGCCTTTGTCTCCCAAGTGCCGATGTTAATACGCCACACCAGTTACTCGTTTGAGGCTGAGTGGACCTAGGGGAGGTTCAAATAATCGTCACCGGTGGTGGCCGTGAGCGGGAATGGAACTGGGTTCGCCGGGTTGGTAGCGCAGCGTAGCGTTAAGCACTACACCCACCGCTCCTCACACACCACACACGCACAGACACACACACAGACACACGCAGACACACACAGACAGACACAGACAGACACACACACACACAGACAGCACGCTAAGCACTACACTACCGCTCCCCACACACCACACACGCACACACACAGACACACACACAGACACACGCAGACACACACAGACAGACACAGACAGACACACACACACACAGACACAGACAGCACGCTAAGCACTACACTACCGTTCCCCCTACACAACACACGCGCGCGCGTCCATAGGTACACATACACGCGCTTGCTGCAGACACACACGACTTTCAGGGTGCGTAAGGCAGTAAACGACTGAAATAATAAAGCGGCAATGCTGTGCGAGGAACGCCTTAGACCAGCAACACATTTGTGTAATGCGAGCGTAAACACACAAACACATACAAACACATACACACACATACATACACACACATACACACAAACACATACACACAGACATACACATACACACAAACACACACATACATGCACACAAACACATACACAATACACACACACATACATGCAGACACAGACAGACACATAACACACATACATACACACACATACACACACATACATAGACACACACATACATAGACACACACATAGATACACACAAACACATGCACACACGTACATACACACATACATAGAGACACGCAGACATACACATAAAGACATAAAAAAAACCCACATACATACACACACACATACACACAAACACATACATACACATACATACACACATACATAGAGACACACAGACATACACATAAACACAAACACACATACACATGACCCGGCTTCGCCCGGGACTTGGATCCAGGATGCCCCGCCGCCTTTGTCTCCCCAGTGACGATGTTCACACACGACAGCAGTTACGCTTTTGAGGCTGAGTGGACCTAGGGGAGGGCCAGGTCCGTTTCAAATAATCGTCAGCGGTGGTGGGCGTGAGTTGGAATCGAACTGGGGTCGCTCAAGCAGCTTAATGACTGTTTGTACAAAGAACATATAAAGAATCGATTATAATAACCAGGCAAGAGTCCACATTATAGACTGCCAGTACACGCACTCAGCTTCATAAGCAGGCTAGAGTGTACATGATAGAGTGGCAGTACGCTCACCGAGCTTAATAAGCAGGCTACAGTGTACATGATAGACTGGCAGTACGCTCACCCAGCTTAATGAGTATTTGTACAGTGAACATTAAAGTAATCGATTGTTGGCGCGTTGGGTTTAAAAGTAATATTAATAGCACACATTGTGGTGGGGGTGTAGTGAAGAGTAGGAAAAACTTTGATGAATTTACCTCAGAGTGGCGTGGTGGGTGTCGAGGCCTAGTAGCGTGCAAAGCCTGCGGCCTCGCCTAAAATTGTCGGCTTGGAAGAGGCAGGGTACGGGTGGCGTTCCTTCCCCCCCCCTAGCGCTCCAACAATACTGTGTAATGGCTATTATTTAATTAAATACGGAGCTTATGAAAGTGGCGAAGGCGTGGCTAGCCGTTGGCAGGGGCAACCGCCGTCCAATGAAACTGCAGCCCTTGGCGAAGGCGTGGCTAGCCGTTGCCAGGTCCAATGAAAGCGGCGAAGGCGTGGCTAGCCGTTGCCAGGGGCAACCGCCGTCCAATGAAAGTGCGTATGGGCCAAAGTCCACACACACACACACAGACAGACAGACATGAACGATTTTATATATATAGATTTAAGTAAACTATTAACAAAACGAAACAGTTTCTATTTATTTTATCATATATCTCTTTTTGAGAAGCGACGTGGCTATCACAAATGATAGCCCAACAAAGTAGGCTTATCACTTGGAATTGTATAGCAGCCAAATGCTATGAACGTGTAATGTTGATTTTAAATATGGAGGAGAAAAAACCGGAGGACCCGGACAAAAATCCACACGACCACGAGAAAAGAGACACGCAAACTCCATCTATAGAGCAGGCGTCAGCGTCGGGATTGAACCCACGACCTCCTGTATACCAGGCAAGGTAGTTAACATCTCGCCACCGTGGAATCCTATGACCTTGACCCATCATCATCATTAGCCATGATCAATCTACTGCTGAATGAAGGCCTCCCCCAGCTGTCACCCACCGTCCCTCGCAGTCTTGCGATGCAACAATCCACTCGCGCTGATCCAACAGCTCCATTTCCACGTTGGACCGATTTCCAGATGCGCTCTCGCGTTTGGCTGTCACTCGGCTCTCCTCCTCGACCGGCCACCATCCCATCTCCTTACCACGCCCGCGTGCCCCTCGTCACAGTGAAGACGATGCCTTTTCATCCACCTACGTTCTCTGATCCACGTCATCCTCCTCCGGTCTCTCAATGTAATCTCAAGCGTACGCATCTCCGTGTGCTCCTTTGTGCACTTTTAAGCATCAATTCCATGTTAAAATTGGTAGACGTGAGCACTATTGTAGAGTACAATAAATAACGAGTTAACACCTTTATTGAATTAATCAAGAAGATAACAGCTTGGGGAATGAGACGATGGCCGGGAATTCTAGAAGGGAGCAAGCAGAAAGTGTTGTGACCGGCAGTGCGGTGGGTGGGTGGGTGTGTGGGTAGGTGGTGAGTGGGTGAGTGAAGGAGTGTGTGTGTGTTGTTCTGGCCTGCAGTGTTGTGAGTAGGGGAGTGAGTTGGTGAGTGAATGTGTTGTTTTGACCTGCAGTGTTGTTTGAGTAGGTGGGTCGGTGAGTGCATGAGTTGGTGAGCGTGTTGTTCTGACCTGCAGTGTGGTGGTGGATAAGACGACACAGTCAGTGTGTGGTAGAGACGAAGTCATCAACGTGGGTTGAGCAGAGTTAGGGGTAGCAGTGTCTGTGACCTTTGTACCAATTCATAACGCCTGTTTCACCGAGTGCACAGGGCAACAATACTAAACTGTGAACTAAACTATGTTTCATTTTACCAGGTAAGGCCCACTGAGCTATTTAGATCTCTTTCAGAAGCGACCTGGCCACAAATGATAGCTCAACGAAGCAGCCATATACTCTAAACGCATGTTTCTAAATGTGGAGAAAAGTCCACGACCACGGGGAGCGAAGCATGCAAACTCTAAGTATACAGCAGGCGTCAGTGTCGGGATTGAATCCACGTCCTCCTGTATATCAGGCGAGGTAGTTAACATCTCGCCACCGCGGCGCCCATTGAGTGCAGTACGATGGCAACCCCTCCCTGGTTAACACGCGTGCCTCCTGAACCCATTCGCCACGCGGAGTCGCGGTTGTTTCAAACAGGCCACTCCCCATCCCAGCGCTGTCCACGCTGGGCCTTGCTTAGCCGCCGACGTTTGGCGGAACCGGGCGCCTCTCGGGTATAAAACATTTTTTGCCGTAGCCTGCGCGCACGTTGGTGGCCAAAACTTGGTGGCTCACGCGGTTCCCCTTGCGGTAAATTTGAGATCGGAAACAAGGAGACTTCTTTGCAATTTTCGCACACCGCTTGATGACGCTGGTCGTTGTCGTTGTTTACTCTCCAACACACAACCGGTGTGCTGAAGTGTTAACTAATTGGCACGTTTTGTTTACATGACAAACCTTACTAATTGGCTATGTGAGGTGGTGGCGGGTTAACAACACATTTATATGTACGCGATATAACACCCCAAAACGCCTTTATTATGGTTAAATAATTAACAAACATATTTTCAATCAAAAAAGTGCTCGTCCTATGGATGAATTCACACCCGCCATAGGAATGTGGAATTTACACCACTGGCCCAGTACTGTAAACAGTAGATGAGCAATCAAAGCCTCAATGCTCATTCGAGCAGGAAGTCACTCGCAATTTGACCGTCAAGCACGGGACGCTTTGTCCATTCACTTTTGGATGAAGGCCTTCCCCACGCTTTGTCAATCATGGGCATTGTTCGACCACATTTCCCCAAGCCAGTCAGTCAGTGCGGGTGGCCTAAGACTGGCCGGTCCAGTTACCACTCGCCACCGATGTGAGGCCACAGCTGGAAATCAAGCTCAGACGCGCGAGTCCATCGCACAGCACAGCACGTGCGCAAACCACGGCGCCACCGCTCCAGCGCTTTCTCGTGATGACGACGGTGACGGTGGAAACGTCCTCCCACCCGCTCCTCACACCCCTTCTCACCCTGGGCCCTGTAGGACCATGGCGGAGACGCAGGATACCTTCATGACCTACACGGCCTACAACGACAACATCACCATGCGCCTGGTGACCGAGGCGTGCACCCTCCTAGGTGGGTGACCCACCCCCCCCTCGAACGTATCCCGTATTGTCCGGCACCCTCACCCCAGCCCAGTGGCGAAGTAACGACATCATCAGTGGCGAAGTAACGACATCATCAGTGGCGTACTAAAAACATCATTAGTGACGTAGTAACGACATCATCAGTGGCGTAGTAACGACATCATCAGTAGCGTACTAAAAACATCATCAGTGACATAGTAACGACATCATCAGTGACGTACTAAAAACATCATTAGTGACGTAGTAACGACATCATCAGTGGCGTAGTAACGACATCTTCAGTGGCGTAGTAACAACATCATCAGTGGCGTACAAAAAACATATTCAGTGGCGCAGTAACGACATCATCAGTGACGTAGTAACGACATCATCAGTGACGTAGTAATGACATCATCAGTGACGTAGTAACGACATCATCAGTGACATACTAAAAACATCTTCAGTGGCGTAGTAACGACATAATCAGTGACGTAGTGACGTAGTGACGACATCAATGGTGTAGTAACTACATTAATACGTAGGCTTTCGCGACCAATATCATCCATAAGAGGTTTTTTCATGGGTTAAATCGCGTAAATATATAAATGTGTTGTTACAACCCGCCACCACCCGACACGGCCAACTAGTAAGGGTTGTCACGTAAACAGAAGATGCCAATCCATCACTAGTACAGCAGCACAGTGGCCTAATCACGACATCATCAGTGGTGTAGTAACGACATCATCAGTGACGTAGTATCAACATCATCAGTGACGTGGTAATGACATCATCAGGTTAGGGGGGGGGGGTAATCGATCAGGTGGGGTCCCCAAAATTGCGATTTGTCTCTTGGCATGGTCGCACCTCGAGGCTATTCTATATCGCGGCTCCTCTTGCCCTAATCACTTCATTGTTACGCTCACCGTCTCGAACGTTTAACGCTGTAGGGGGGCGCTTCGTTTTAAATGTTTTTGTTCTTGAGATGACACTTTATTGAAGACACGTTCACTTGACATCAGGCATAAACCCCCACTGCAATAGCCCTGAGTCTGCCTGTGCATCTCCCCCTTATATACCAACACGAGGCCACGTCCCGCTTCTCGATCATTCTCGCTGACTCTGGACACTCACTCCGCCGGCAGACTCTGCCGTTCCGTTCCGTCACCTGACTACGCTCCCTTCTCGAACATCCTCGTAGCTACCAGTCCCTTCGCACTCAAAACTGATACCCCTGTCATTACCTCCCGTGGCCACCAGTCCCTTCGCGCTCACAACTGATACCTCTGTCATTACCTCCCGTGACCACCATTCCCTTTGCACACAACTGATACCCCTGTCATTACATCCCATGGCCATCAGTCCCTTCGCACTCACAACTGATACCCCTGACACTACCTCCCGTAGCCACCAGTCCCTTCACACTCACAACTGATACCCCTGTCATTACCTCTCGTGGCCAACCAGTTCCTTCGCACTCAAAACTGATACCCCTGTCATTACCTCCCGTGGCCACCGGTCCCTTCGTACTCACAGCTGATACCCCTGTCATTACCTCCCGTGGCCACTAGTGCCCTCGTACCGTAAGCTGACCTCCCTGTCATGACCTCCCGTGGCCACCAGTCCCTTCGCACTCACAACTGATACCCCCGTCATTACCTCCCGTGGCCGCTAGTGCATTCGTACCGTAAGCTGACCTCCCTGTCATTACCTCCCGTGGCCACAAGTCCCCTCACACCGCATTCAGGCTCTATTGTCATTACACATACATCTCACATGGGTGTATCCTTCATTATTATTAAGAATACGTAACTCGAGACTGCACCTTGAATGTCCCGGGAAGGCTTCGAGATTTCCTCGGACAGTTACCTCCACAGCAAGAGAGCGATGCTGCAGGGAAAACTAGAACAGGTGGCACGGGTTATATAGATTTGCGGAGCGAGCATTGTTAGCGAGCACCTATTAAGGACGTCACAGCACACCGAGTGGGTTGTGTGGCCAGCACCACACGCTGCGGTCTTTAATGTCGATACGCCACCACCGTTACTGGGGCACTTATTTCGGATCAAGGTGAACCCGAGGGGAGGCCCAGGTAAACCGCGACATGGTGGCAACCCTACCCTACCATAACCCTTGCCAGGCTACACATGGGGGCTTTGTCTGTGTTGGCCGTGCCGTGTGTGACTGGGGGAGGGGGGGGCACAGGGGTTGCCCCCGAGGTGGTGCTCCATCTGTTCGGGGAGTACTTCTTCGAGTTCTGCAAGCGCTCGGGCTACGACCGCATGCTGCGCACGCTGGGCGGCAACCTGCAGGAGTTCATCGAGAACCTGGACGCGCTGCACAGCTACCTCACCCTGTCCTACAAGGTGAGCGTGCACTATCCTCACCCTACAAGGTGAGCGTGCACTCTCCTCACCCTACAAGGTGAGCGTGCACTCTCCTCACCCTACAGGGTGAGCGTGCACTCCCCTCACCTCACCCTGTCCTACAAGGTGAGCGTGCACTCTCCTCACCTCACCCTACAGGGTGAGCATGCACAAAATCGCCCGTTTTCTCATTGAAAATAGGTACATTTCTAAATGTCACTGTCCTGGTCACAAAAGCACAGTTTGTGGGGAATAATAGGCATTTTCTATACTTTTTAGGACAGACGCAATTACGAAATAATAATTACTACCCAGGATCAAAAATTGTGTTACATAGTGTAATCAGAGCTGACTGCAATGATGATTCTGATGATAGGTCAAGATGCTGTTGATAATCGTTCAAGATGATGGCAGGCAAAGATGATGATGAATGTGATAGGGTCAAGGCAATATAATGTGTTTATATTACAAGTTGAAATTATTATTATTATTGTGTTTCTCATTTACAAAGCTAAGCGTGTAAAGCCTATTTCTGCAGACATTTCCATACGAACGCCAAACCGGTTAGGGGCCGTCCATAAATGACGTCACGCACCTGGGGGGGGGGGGGGTCAGACATTTGTGACGATGTGTGACGAGAGGGGGGGAGGGTTGAGAAATGTGACGTCACATCAAAATGCGCAACTTTAAATAAATATCGACAACACGTTCTACTTAATTAAATTGACTTTTTAATAAATGTTTTCTCCTACAACATCAGAGTGCAGCGCCACATTAAATACGCACTACAATGACAATAGTTGAAAGCGATTTAAAGCATGTTTTATTTGGGGGGGGGGGGGTAGAGCTTTGTGACGTCATATTTGAGCGGGGTCTGACTTTTTGTGACGCCGCGTGACGAGAGGGAGGGGTCAAAAATCGTGTGACGTCATTTATGGACTGCCCCTTAACACCGGTATTAACCGGGTTTATTTGTGCGGTTACCGGTAATGCAGCAGCAACAACACCGGGTTTTATTGCACGCTTTTATTTAACTCACTCTGTCTGTTGTATCCTCAACTCTGTCTGTTGTCGTATCCTCAAATCTTGTAACTCAATTTTAACCCACTTCCCAATGTCGTATCGACTGCAAACTTGGTATACGTATGTCATACTGATGACAATACTATATTCTATCAGTAAAAATAAATATATATGTTTCAGCAATCTTTTTTAAATCTTATGTTTCGGCTTGGGACTAATTGTTCACGCTCAACTCACGTTGGCTGTAAATCACCACGGCCCCTTATGTTATGGCAAGCTTCAGGGCCACTTTCTGGAGTCGTGGAGTTCTGCCATTACTCGTACGCAACATTTCATTAAAGCGTGTTTTTTTTTAAGTATTTTTAAATATTACTTATTAACAACTCGATTGGAGATGCGAGCGGTCAGTCAACAAGCAGGCGGCATAGCGATCCATGAGCGAGGCCAGAGCAGGCAGCTCCTTAGCGCCATGACAAGGAGAATGCTGATGACTCGCCCACCGCCATCAGTAGAAGGAACAAATTCCCCAAAAACCTTGCCGCTATGCCATTCTCGATAGGTTGCCGAGAGCTGAACGGAGTCCCAAAGAACTCACAAACACCACCTTGTTGCGAAAGACCTAACGCAGAGGACCCCCAGGGGATTGATCTTCCGCGAAGCTCGTTGGTCCACCCCAAGCCGCGTTCGCACTACACAAACCATGTCAGGTGCGGATACCTGACGCACAAATGGACCATTTGCACAACTCTCCAGTCGTGAGCACGTGTGGTCATCCAAAACATATTGACGCAATGCCCTGATCCACGAGTAAGAAGGAGACATCGCAGCGATGCTACACTCCGCTGCTCCCTGATGCGGTGATCTGAGCTTGACCACCTCAATGTGAAATTGTTGGCTCTGCAGCTCCATCAGCTGCAGCCACACGGTAGAAGAAGAAGAGGAAGAAGTCTCGCGGGGTGTGTAGGGGGGGGGGCTTGGTGAGCCGCTTATTGTCGAGGGCTCCTTGTTACTCATTACGCCGCTCGCTCAACTCGCCTCCCTCCCTCGCTCGCCCGCCCGCACTCGCTCTGCAGGCGGGGAGGGAGGGCAACAGTCCCCGTGGTGCCAGGGCCCCCGAGACCATGGAGCCGAACATCAAACGCCGAGTGGGGCTGGCGGGCAAACTCCGATATAAATCCCTTCTAATAGCGTGGCTGCTGGGCGTGGATAGTGCGTGCATGTGTGTGGGTGTGTGTGTGCGTGGGTGTGTGTGTGTGGGTGTGCGTGCGTGTGTGTGCGTGTGTGTGGGTGTGTGTAAGATGCTACAGCATCCCACGTCGGAGAATGAGGAGGCTTACCGCAGCCTTCGCTCGGAGGTTCGGAGGGCCGTGAGGCGCTGCAAGGATGGGTGGTGGTTGCGGGTTGCTGAGGAGATGGAGTCTGCCTCAGTGGCCCGCGATCACAAATCCCTCTTTAATTCCATCAAAAAAGTAACCTGCAGCGCCACACCTATTACCATCATTAGGGGATCCAATCTCCGACCCCCAGGAACAGGTTTGCAGATTTGCTGAGCATTTCTGTGAGGTCATGGGGGAGGGGGCATCCCTCGGCCTGGATAACAACGTGGGAACAAAGTGGAGATGACACTGCTGAGGCTGCGGTGCCTCAAATATTGGAAGAAGTCACCCCCTGTGAGTGGCTGGCTGAGGTGTCATCTGTTGAAGTACTGAAGGTGATTCAGAGTCTGAGACCAGGAAAGGGACCGGGCAGAGATGATCTCCCAAGCTAAATGCTGAGGGAGGGTGGCGTTTGTGCATAGACTGCCCTATATGACATCATAACAACAGTCTGGACCACTGAACGGGTTCCGCAGGACTGGAAGGATGCTCTGTTGGTCCCCCTCTTTAAGAAGGGGGAACGCACAGACTGTAACAACTACAGGGGCATCTCACTCCTCAGTGTGCCGGGAAAGGTCCTGGCAAGGATTATTCAACATCGCCTTGCTAGGCACGCTGAGGAGAAGCTTGCAGAGCCCCAATGCGGTTTCAGGAATGGGCGGTCCTGCACAGGATGCCATATTTTATGTCCGTCTGCCACAGCAGAGGTGTAGGGAATTCCTGCAAGACCTACATCTCTGCTTTATTGACTTTGTCAAGGCCTATGATACCATCAGTAGGCCTAGGCTCTGGGTTTTTTCTTCGTGCTTTCGGAGTCCCCGACCCTCTGCTCACGATCATTAAGGACCTTCATGATGGTGAGCAGGCCCGGGTAAAACTAGATGACCGGGAGTCGGAGCCATTCGCTGTACACCTTGGGGTGCGACAGGGATGTCCTCTGGCTCCCACATTATTTAACATCTATTTGACCACGTAGTTCGTGAGGCCTTCAATAGCTGTACCGGAGGAATTTATATCTGGTACAGATACAATGGGAAGCTGATCGATGCCCGGGTGTGGTCAAGAGATGGCTCCCTATTGCTCAACCATGTTATGTATGCCGATGATCTGGTAATCGTTGCTCACTCAGAGGAGGAGTTGGAGGCACTGCTGCTAAGCCTGGAGCTTGCCACTAAGAGGTGGCGCTTTACCATCAGCTCCACCAAAACTAAGCACTTTCCAGGGTATGTTGTACCTATCGAACTCTCCACCCCCACAACTCCCAATTGGCGATGGGGAAGTTGTGGAGAGAGTGGAGAGTTCCCCATATCTGGGCAGTGTGCTTATGACTGGCTCCGGTTTAACAGCAGAGGTCTCACTCCGAATCAGTCGAGTGGCATTATCTTTTCATCGGTTGCATTACGCTGTGTGGAAGCTAGCTGGTCTGTCACTCCGTACAAAGCTTCAGGTCTTCTTGGCCACAGTCATTCCCTCCCTTCTCTACGCTTCCGAAACGTGGACCCCCCTAATGGAGCATCTTCACCGGTTAGAAACATTTAGGCTGGCCCGCCTACGATCCATCCTTGGTTTAACCAGTCTGGATTGTGTGAGGAGCTCACAAATCCTTGAAAGATCTGGACAAAGTCCCATCGGTGAGCTCCTCTGGCAGGCAAGGCTGTGTTAGCTGGGCCATGTAGCCCGCATACCCAGTCACTGCATGCCTAAACAGCTTTTGTTCGGCCGGATCTAGAGGGCTAAACGGGCGCGGCACGGGCTAGAGAAGAGATGAAGTGATGTGGTATAGGAGGATGTGGAGCTGAGTGGACTTGCCAATGACTGGTATCAGCGGTGGGCGGAGGAGCGACGCTCACAACAACGAGCGGAGCGCCGGGTGGCTAAAGCACAGCAAGTTGGCACGGCAGGGGGCACAGGTGGTGCATCAGCCAGTCATCTCAGTCAGTCGACCCGTGGCACATGGGTCTGCCCCGTGACCTCCTGCCAGCGGGCGTTCGACACTTCACATGGCCTCAAGGTGCACATAGCCTGGCACAAGCGTCGTGGTGACGTCACCGCCACTTAGTGGCGAATGGCGGTTGTTGTTGTGTGTGTGTGGTGCTGTGGGGAGTGGTGGTGTAGCGGTTAGCGAACTGCGCTACTTACCTGGCGACCAGAGTTCGATTCCTACTCAGGGCCAAAATCAGTGACGATTTTCTGAACCGGTCCTGGGCCTCCCTTAGGTCGACTCGGCCTCAAATGAGTACCTGTTGCAATGTGTGAACATCCCCTCTGGGGAGACAAAGGCGGTCGGGCGCGGTGCTGGCCATCCACCCCCTCGTGTATCGTGCCGGCCTTCAGAGGTGTTCGCTAACGACACTTACCCCAACAGTCTGTTAAAGCTATACGGGGGGTCTTTGTGTGTGGGTGGTGACGCGATCCATGGGTGGTGTGTCTATCCCTCGTTGCACAAAGCTTTGCGATTCCAGCCCAGCGGACCGCCCTGGATAATGCTGCGGGTGTATTAGCAAAACAATTAAACATCTATAACCACGTCTTTTTTTACCAGGTAAGGCCCACTGAGCTACGTAGCTCTTTTTCAGAAGCGGCCTGGCCACACATGATAGCTCAACGAAGTGGCTTATCACGTGGAAATGTAAAATAGCAGCCAAATACTCTAAACCAGCGGTCGACAACCTGCGGCTTCGGAGCCGCATGCCGCTCTTTAAGTACTGCATTGCGGCTCTTGAAATTCGAAAAAATGTCTCTTGTTATTTTGATTGCCAACCCCTGACCATGGGAGTCGAGTTTACCATGGAAGTCGAGTCCACCATGGAAGTCCACTTTATCATGGACGTCCAGTTTACCATGGGAGTCCAGTTTACCATGGGAGACCAGTTTACCAAAGGAGTCCAGTAAAAATGGGAATCCAGTTCACCATGGAAGTTCAGTTTACCATGGGCATGAGTCGGCAACCTGCTTTTCCGGATCAGCACGCGGCTCTTTAAGGAGCTGCTGCTTTATGGCGGTTATTTATTGAGGACCACCACCGTCTCGTATTCACCGCAACATTGCAGCGGCTCTTGAAAATACTGAGTTTTTTTTTCTAATTCGAAAACAAAAAAAAGAATAGCTCTTCATTTCTCATTTTGGTTGCCCGACGTTTGACGTTCGCACGCTGACGATTGCCGGTGATGCTAATCGAGGAAGAATCCGCCACACGTGTGCCGCTGGTATCGCGTATCTGTCCGACGTTCGAAAGCCGTCCAAGCCATGGCAATTGCGGGGGGAGTGCGCCTTTTCCTGTTTTTTAAACATTCCCTTTTAACATAAATGAAGAATGTGCATTTTTTTGCCGGTTTGGAATCTCAAAATCAGCCATTGATCTCAGAGCTGCAGCCCTCAGCCGTGACAGTATTTGGGTCAAGGCCGCGAGGCGGTGGTTAAATATTTGATCTCATTCATATGTATGCAAACGCGAGCGCACTTTATGCAGTATATCTCGTGTGAAGATAAATTTTATGCATTTATACACAGACGAAAGTGGTTCTGTTCGCCTTCTCTGGTCTGACACTGGTGAGACCAGGCCCTAAAGATGTCTGGTGTAGACCAATCAGTTTCAAAGACAATGCATCATTTATTATTATCAAAGCATGCTTTGTTTGCATGTTCACCACAATTATTTGTGGTTAATGCAGACATGATTCCTTGCAATAGGTTTCAGTTTGGTGTTTTAACATCTTCACACAATTGTTTTATTGCCAGAAAGGTTCAAACCTATTCTTATATTTTGAGACTGGCAAGGGCGGTCCCATGATGTAGCTGCTCATCCCGAGCTCTCAATGTCCTGACAGTGGCATTGTCTTTGTGCTGTTCGCCTTTTGGCGTCCTCTGGCCTAACGCTGTTTGAGACGAGGCTCTAAAAAATGCTGCCTCTAGTGTGGACCAATCAATTTCAAAGACAAAGCATCATCTACTACCAGAGCATGTTTTTGTTGTTTGCATGTTCACCACAAGTATATGTGGTTGATGCAGACATGACTCCTTGCAAAAGGTTTCTAGTTGGTGTTTTAACATCTTAACACACCTGTTTTATTGCCAGAAAGAGTAAAAACTATTCTTGATTTTTCATACTATGATACTGGCAAAAAAAGGTACCATGTTGATAGTGGCTCAATTCGTCGAGGTGAACAATCTTTTGTTCCAGCCAATAAAACGCTGCCTTTCAACTATCAAATTTGCACCATCACAATATAATATTGGGATGCATGCGGCGTCTAAATCCGACAGCATCTCAAGCCGCCGTGCAATGTACATACAGCATAGAGACAAAGATCAGCATCAGCAAGGGGGGCTAAGCACCCCCTCGCTGATGGCTCAGCCCCCCCCCCCCACCTCCGCAATCCTTGAGCCAAGCAGTGGTGTTGAACTTCTTTCGCACCGTACGTAGCCAACCGTGCTAATCGGAGGTGCAGGGAAGGTGGTGGTGGTGGTGGTGGCAACACACGTGCGCCTGTGTGATCCAACACTGTGGAGGCAGCAGCGAGGGCTTGGTGGATCACCGCCCACAGAGGGGATCGTGAAATCCTCTTCCTCCCGTGGGTGTGCGTCAAGGAGTGGCCGTACCCCTGGCTCAGCTAGGAGAAGGCGGTTCGCCAATCACGTGGACTCCACCCGTTACCTCTCTGTATGTGATAGAGCGTTTTGCCCTCGCACGAGTGGGTTCTCTCCGGGTGATCCGGTTTCCTCCCACACGCAAACACTAATTAACTGGCCGCAAAACAAGTAGAAAGAGAACCGCAGAGCTTGGGAAATTGTTGGTGGTGCCGGCTCCTCACTCTGCGGCTGCTACTTCTGCCTTTACGCTCGTCTATGGTTCCTCCTCCTGGCGCCTCTGAGTCGTCCTCTCTCTTTTGAGTCGTCCTCTCTTAGTCGTCCTCTCTCTCTCTCGGAGTCATCCTCTCTGAGTCGTCCTCTCTCTCTCTGAGTCGTCCTCTCTCTGAGTCGTCCCTTCTGTCTCTGAGTCGTTCTCTCTCTCTCAATCGTCCTCTCTCTCTCTGAGTCACGCCCCTCTATCTGAGTCGTCCTCTCTCTCTGAGTCATCCTCTCTCTCTCTTAGTTGTCCTCTCTCTCTTGAGTCGTCCTCTTTCTCTCCGAGTCGTCCTCTGTCTCTCTCTGAGTCATCATTTCTCTCTATCTGAGTCGTCATCTCTCTCTGAGTCGTCCTCTGTCTTTTTTAGTCGTCCTCTGTCTCTCTCTGAGTACTGAAGGAACTATCTCACCACGTGCATCTGTCGATCTAGAAACAATTTCAAAACTGTTTTTATTTTACCAGGTACGGCCCATTGAGCTCTATGGCTCTATTGCAGACGCAACCTCGCCACAAATGATAGCTCAACGAAGTGGCTTATAATCAAAACGCCTGATGTTGATTCTAAATGAAGAGGGAAAAACCGGCCCGGAGAAAAATCCACACTCCCACGGGAAGAGAGAGAGAGAGACACTGCAATCTACAAATATATAACAGGCGTCAAGGGTCAAGATCGAGCCCGACGACCTCCTGTATAGCAGGCGTGGGAGTTTACATCTCATAGCCACCGTGGCAGTCCACGTGGGCGGAGAGCCCTGGTGCAAAGCGGGGTGACGGGGGCTCACGACCTGGCGACCCGAGTTCAATTTGGCCTCACGGTCACGGACGCCAGAGATGACTATCTGAACCGGTGCTGGGCCTAACCTAGATCTACTCAGCCTTAAATGAGTACCCGGTGAAGTGTGGGTGTAAACATCAGCCACCGAGGAAGACAAAGGCGGCCGGGGCATGCCACTGACCGCACACCTCCCCTTTGCGCCGTGCCGGCCTTCGTAGGTGCTCGCAAACCAGCGCTCGCCCCGACAGTCTGTTAAGGCTTCATGGTGGGGGTGTGGGAAATCTTTGTCTTTGGTGCGACAGGAGATGAACGCCCCGTCGTTTCGCGTCGAGAAGAGAGAGGACGGGAGGATGCTGCTGCATTATTACTCTGATCGCAAGGGACTGAGCCAGATCGTGCCAGGTACGGCGGCCGTCTGGACACGTTTTGCTCTTGTGCACCCAATACAGTGAATGAAACGTCGTGCTCAGATTGTGAATATGTGGCTTGGCTCTCCAACACACCGGTTAGTGTTGTACTAGTGACGAATTGGCACGTTCTGTTTACGTGACAACCCTTACTAATTGGCTGTGTCGGGAGGTGGCCGTTTTAACGACACATTTATATTTACGCGACATATCCCAAAAACAACCTGCTTTATGGATAATGTTTATATGTCCATGCTTTTGGGTGTGGAGTGAGGGAGTCAGTGGTTTGGATCTCATAAAAAAAGTTTAAGTCGGAGGTTTGGGTCTACAAGAGAAAGTTTAAGTCGGTGGTTCTTTCCTGGTTCTCAATCGTTCAAAAATGTAGAATGTTTATGGGTTTGGTTAAACAGAGTAAATTGTAACTTACATGCCCGTGCTTCATTTGCGTTTTCGATGATTTACCTTCTCACAAGAATCTGGCCACGTCTCACACCCCCCACAAAGGGCATCTCGCACTCCCAGTAGGTGCGTGCACCCCAGGGGAAGGGCCACTTGTGGAAGGGATGCATCCGTAAGCAAATGAACCAGGGGACACACCGATGCTGCAGCTGCTAACGTGAAGGGATTCAAGTCAGAGTCTTTATGTGTGCTGGGGGAAGCCGATGAGCTATGAAGCAATGTTTTCACAGATGTCCAGTAGGTGCGGGTCAGAACGACACAACAACAAATACAACAACACGATCGGAGTGCAAAGCGTAGGAAAGGTTAAACAAAATAAGAAAAATATATACAAATATAAGTAAATTTTTTTTATCTTACCAGGCAAAGCCCACTGAGGTATTAACTTGTTTTTCAGAAGCGACTTAGCCACAAATGATAGCTCAATGAAGTAGCTTATCACGTGAACTCCCTCGCCTGGTATACAGGTCGTGGGTTTCATCCCGATCCTGATGCCTGCTGTGTTTCTGTAATTTGTGGTCGCGTGGATTTTTCTCCGTATCTTTTCGGTTTTACCCTCCTTAGAATCAACATCATGGCGTTTAGAGTATTTCGCTGCTGTACATTTCTACATTGTCAGCCACTTCGTTGAGCTATCATTTGTGAAAGCCAGATCGCTTCTGAAAAAAAAATTGCTACATAGCTCAGTGGGGCCTTGCCTGGTAAAAGAAAAACGTTTTATTAAAAAAACGATTGGGGTACAAAGTATAGGAAAAGGTAAGCAACCTATTAAAAACAGATAAGTAAAAATCAACAAAGTATATACGTTGAAATTGCATAAGTGCACCAATTCCCAAGCTTGGTAAGATGAAAAAAACATCGTTTAGTTGTATTTGTATATTTTAAGTGATTTGTTTACCTTTCCGATACTCTGCACTCCTGTCGTGTTTTTGTATTGTTTGTTGTTGTAAAGTTCTGACCCCGTGGCTCTGCCGGACCATCGATGAACAAAGAGCATCATAGTGCTCGCCGCGCTGCATTGGCTTCCGGTTGCTGAACAAATACATTATAAGGTCGCGCTCGTCACACACAAAGTGCTTACCACAAATGAACCACAATACCATTGACGGTCTCGTCAAGGAACATAAACCATCACGCGAACTGCGGTCATCTGCGTAGCGGCGGTTTTGGCTCGCCGTCGAACAAAGACGGCCACCGCATTGCGTGGCGCTTTCGGGTGCGCGTCTGTGGCCGTCGAGAACGCTCTTGCTTCCGATATTAGGAAGCCACCAGAGCTACGCACTTTGAAATAATCAAGATTGACAAACTCATTTCTTTAGAACTGCTTTTTGTGTTTATTGTCCTTCCGCCGCACCTCCGATTAGCATGGTCGGCTACGTACGGCGCGAAAGAAGTTCAACACACACACGTACATCGCCCATCGGATTTCCTCCAGCACAAGCAAATATTCTGATTCCGATTGATTCTGAACCTCCCCTCGCCGTCCGTCGGCAGGCATCATCGGGGCGGTGGCGAGGGACTTCTTCTCGAGCGACATCACCATGGAGGTGGTGACGCACAGCGAGGAGGACGAGCGCACGGGCAAGAAGGAGCACGTGGTCTTCCTGGTCACCCAGAGTGCGTGGAGCACCGCCACGGTCGCGGCGGCGGCGGCAGCGGCGGCCGAGCGACAGAGCGTCGCAGAGGGCGGCCGCGGGGCGGAGAGTCTCGGCGTGCCGGCCACAACGCCACGGGGCAGCAGGAGGGAGAAGGCGGAGGTGCGTACCTCTACCCCCCCGCACCTCTCCACCCTCCACTCCTCCACCCTCCACTCCATCCCCCCACTCCACCCCCCCATCCCCCATTTTCCACTCCATCCCCCCAAAGCCCCCCCCCCCCACTCCCCCACCCTCTACTCCACCCCCCACTACCCCACTCCACCCCCCACCCCCACCCTCGACTCCACCCCTGGCAAATTCCACCCCCGGGCTACTCACGCTCCACCATCTCACACGGGGTTCGATTGTTCCCGTAGGCCCCATTGAATAGGAATCATAATTCTTTACATTTATATTTTTTACCCTGGAAAAATTCGTGTGGATGTTGAGATGTGTAAACAAAACTAAAATCTACGCGTGTATATATTTTGTCTCATGCGATGGGATTACAGATATTTGTGAACGTGGCGTAGCACCTGCAGCCTGTTGACCCCGGTATCAGATCAGAATCTTAAGCTATCCTGGAGAAATCCGATGAGCTATGAAGCTTTTTTTACGCAAATGTCTCGACGGGGCACGACAAACAATACCAAAAACTATATAGCAGCGCAAAGTATAGGAAGGGTAAGCAAATGACTACAAATAAATACAATAGACTCGCGATTATCCGCGCTAATGACAGGGATGACAAAATAAATAAGCATTTTCCGCAGTTCTCGATGCCAAAAACACTAATGTAGGTGAAAGTTATGTTTACGTTTCTCTGCCATCACAGTTTCGTGAATTAAAACTCACAAAATCAATGATTGGATAAATCACTCAAAATGAAGCACAACTGATGATTTCCATTGCTTAGCGATAACACTTTCCTGGTCCCGCGTAAAAGACTCAGCTCACTCAGTGGCCAGCAGAGCCACGCCAATCAACATCAAACAAACTCCACCCACTGCTGTATATATATGCAACTACTGTACTGTAGAGGCGATCACAGGAATTTCTGTTTAACCGGAGCAACATATTTTTTCAGTTTAAGCACGTGACTTGCAATTAACATTTTCAAGAATAACAATGTATATAACTGTTTTTATATTATAAATTTTGAGCTCAGGGGAAACTCCGTGAGTTATTAATTTATGTCAAAATCTCAGCTGCACGGTTAATCTGCCAATCGGATAAACCGCACACGGATAATTATCGATGAGTGTACGTAAAATAGATGAACGTATGTAAGTTAAAATCGCGTAAGGTACGCCAATTCCCAAGCTTGTGCAAGTCAGAAAAACCACAGCGAGAACAGTTCCACGTGACATCCTGATCGCCCCGCTTGCACAGTGAATCAAACAACTCAAAGCGATCCCCTGCTGCCCAAATGAGCCTTGCCACCATTGGCGCTCATCTCCCGTTCACAGCCCTGCTGGGGCCAGCGGTGGAAATTCCACATTGCCATGGCGGGGCGAGGGCTTATCCGTAGGACATCCTACTGTTGGCTTTGTAATACATTAGTCCCTCGGTTAAAAGTGACATCGGTGTCGACCAATGTAACAAAGTTGACTCACGGTACCGTGTTTACGTGATAAGCACGGCGGTGACAATTTTGGCCAATCCGTGCGCTCGTAAGTGGGGTTGAACGCATGCCGTCAGCCAATCAGCGATGCCCATTTATGAGCGTTTAGACCTCAACTGCGTTTGTTGACGTTGCGTTTTCAGTTTTGGCGGTGTAAAACAGCGCTCTTGCAGACTCGATGATTTTTTACTTCACTTTCAACTTGTAAGTTAATTAACAGAGATTGCAATGTCCCCTGCAGTGAATTCGTAAAAGTCAAAGAGGAGTGGAAAAGTAATTAGCTTTAAAGCAAAGTAGTCCATTATTTACGAGCATGAAAAAGGGGTAAAAACCAGTGCACTTATGAGTGAGTCTGGCTTCAATATTCCTAAATTTGATTATTTCGGTTCACGGTAGTTTTCATGGAAGGCCACTGGACTGTTTTGCAGACTTCTTTGTTTTGAGAGGCGACGTTTGACATACATTTTCTGAACGATGGGGGCCAACGAAGGCACGTGTCATCAGTATTTTTCTTTTTTTCATTAAAAAAAACGCTCTTAACGCCGAACCACTCACCGCCGCTCGCACGGGGCAATCCATCCATAGACTCCCCACTCAAGAGAGAACGCAACTGAGTGCGAACGGAGCGCAGAGAGATATCCACTCAGCATTACGTTGAGAGACCGGACAGAGGAACACGTGGATCAAAGGACGTATGCAGATTAATAAACTATTAACCTAAAAAATATATATTTTTAATTTTACCAAGTACGGTCCACTGCGCTATATAGATTTTTTTTTTCAGGAGCGACCTGGCCACAAACGACAGCTCAACGAAGTGGTGTATCATGAAATGGAGTATCACGTGGAAATCTGTAGCAGCCAAATGTCCTAAATGCACGTTGATTTTAAATATGGAGGGGAAAAACCGGAGGACACGGAGAAAAATCCATGCGACCACCACAAATATACAGCAGATGTCAGGGTCCGGATTGAACCCATGACCTCCTGTATACCAGACGAGGTAGTTAACATCTCCTAGCCACCTTTAGAGGATGATGTCGGATGGTTAAGAATAATAGCGGAATGGCAGAACGTCCACCGGGGGAGATGAAGCAACGAGCGTTGAAATCAGTTCACGTGATAGGTGTCGGGTGGATTGTTACACCGCAGGATTGTGAGAGATGGTGGCAGCTTAGGGGCTGGGGAGGTTGGGAGGGAGGCCTTCATCCAGCAGTGGCACGCGAATCCGTCCGTCGCGGACATTTCGCAAGTAAATCCCAGGGCAGGCGAGGCGAGCGCCTCTCGCAATCAGGAGGCTTGAGAGAGCGAGAACCTCTGGATCGCCTCGGCACGACTCTCTTCAGGGATCGCAGGAACTGAAATGCACGGAGCGTCGCTCCGTGGACGAGGGCGGCGGCGCGCCGCGTCCAGCGAAGAAGAACCACTGGGAGACCATCCGGAGCATCGTCACCCTGGGGAAAGGTGAGCGGCTGGGGCGATCAAGGGAGTGGGGGGGGTGGAGCGCTGCCCGGAGCGGGGAGTTGTCGGTTCCACCGCGTCGTTGTGCGTGGTGGCCCCCTCATTCTGGGTCGACGCCGGGGCCAGTGGGGTCTCTTCAGGGCCGTCCATAGGGGCAGGGGATGCGGGGGGCCCAGGGCAAATTCCACCGTGTGGGCACCCCCCACCCTAAGCGCGGGGCCCGGGGCAGTCGCCCAGATTCACCGTAACCCTTAGAGACGGCTCTAAGTCTCCGCGTTGGACACCCACCTCTAAAAGGTCAACTAAGGTAAATGGGAAGCCCTGAAAATTGCTCGTTCGCGCCACTGCTGGCAGAAGGAGCCTCCACTGGAGGGAGGGTAATTTGGCCTACTCCTCCACGCGGACCCACACTTTAGCCCACCACACGCGAGCTCCGAATCGACTGGCTTGTAGTGCACCATTTATACTTCTGGTAGGACAGATTCAACTCATCCAAATAGTGTTTAACCACCTCAATGCAGGCCACAACAACTTACTCACCCACAAACTCAACACGCACTCACTCACCCACCCACACACTCACCACGCACTCACCCACCCACACACTCACTCACTCACCACACTGCAGGCCACAACAACTCACTCACCCACACACTCACCACGCACTCACTCACTCACCCACATACTCACCACGCACTCACCCACCCACACACTCACTCACTCACCACACTGCAGGCCACAACAACTCACTCATCCACCCACTCACCCAACTCACACACTCACTCGCCACCCACTCACCACACTGCAGTTGCAACTCACTTCAATTTCTGCATCTTCCCTCGGCCCGCTCCGCTCTGGAATTCCCCGCCATCGTCCCATTCCCCTCGAAGCCCTCGCACAGCAATCGCCTCGCTCAATTCGAGACGCGGCATAGCACAACGCCCGCTCGACCACGACTCCGATAGCGGTGCCGTTCGTCGCTCGCCGCTTCACGCGAGCTCACCCCTTGGCGCGCCGACACTCTGCCCCAGCGACTCCGCGAAAAGAACCAACAAGGGCCGCCGGCGCTCGCCGGGGAGTCGTAGACCGAGCCTGGAGACGTGCGGACCGCTGACACCGCCGACGGCGAGGTGTCCGGCACGCTCACCGGTCACGGCGGCGTGCCGAGCCGAGCCCCCTGACCGGCGCCGCGTTGCGTCTCCCCGGGTCGCCGCAGGGAGGCTGCTGAGGGGCTTCCAGGCCGTGTTCCCCTGACACCCTCTGGGTGGACGAGAGGACCTTCTGCAACTCGTTCCCGTTCCACGTCGTCTTCGACGAGGAGGTGAGGCCGGAATCGCACGCTGGGGGGGGAGCAGAGTGGGGGGGGGGCTTCGATCATTTTACCAGCAGCGCCGTCGTCATCGTTAGCCATGCTCCATCCACTGCTGGATGAAGGCTTCCCCCGCCCAAGCCGTCACTGACGTCACCACCATGGCCTTGCGATGTAACAATCCACCCAGCACTGTGCTGATTTTATTGCTCCATCTTCCCGGCGGACGTCCTCTGGAACACGCGTTCCACTCCTTGCCTGCCCCTCCTAGTCGTGACGCGACCTGCCCAAGCACACTGACTTTTCTCGATGGGTTGAACGATGATACAGCTCTAAATATTTTTTTATTTTAACAAGTAAGGCCCACAGAGCTATGTAGCACTTTTTCCAACGCGACCTGGCTGCCACAAATTATAGCTCAACGACGTGGCTTATCATCACGTGGGAAATGTACAGCAGCAGCCAAATTGTCTCAACGCCGTGACGTTGACTCTAAATGTTGCGAGGGAAAAACCGGAGGGCCCGGAGAAAAATCCACGTGACCACGGGGAGAGAGAGAGACACCTCAAACTCCAAATATATTGTGTAGGCGATGTCAGGGTCGAGATCGAACCCACGACCTCTACGAGGTGACAACCCTGCACCCCCCCTCCCCCACGCTGCGCACGCAGCTGCGCGTCAAACAGGCGGGCGTGAACATCCAGAAGTTCGTGCCGGGCCTGCAGACCATGGACATCCGCCTGGATGAGTACTTCACCATCGGCCACCCGGAGGTCACGTTCACCCTCGAGAGCATCCGCAAGTTCATCAACAGCCAGTTCGTGCTCAAGACCCGGCGCGAGATGCTGCCGGAAGCTCGCAGGAGCCAGCCCATGCTGGACCTCCGAGGTGAGAGGCGCCCGTCGGGAACGCCCCGACCCGACCCGCCGTCGTTGTCGCCTCCAGCATTCGATTTTCGATTCGGCCGCGGGGTGTGGGGGGTGCTGGGGTGCCACGGTAGCTTGGATATGTTAACTGCCTCGCCTGGCATGCAGGAAGCCATAGGTTCGATCCCACCCCTGACACCTGCTGTATATTTGGAGTTTGTGTGCCTCTTTCTCTCTCTCCCCGTGCGGATTTTTCTCCACGTGATAATATAATTAGCCACTTCCTTGAGCTATCCTTTGTGGCCAGGTCGCTTTTGAAAAAAAATTATACAGCTCAGAGACCTTTATCTGGTCAAATAAAAAATTGTTTCGCTAAAAAACTATTTGTCTGCTGCGATCAATTTCCACGAAATAAGCCACTTCGTTGAGCTGCTAGCCAGGTCACTTCTGAAAAAGAGCTATCTATATTATTATATTATATTATTATATTATTTTATTATATTATATTATTTATATATTATTATTTTATTATGTTTTCTTTTTATTATTTTATTGCTTCCCTTCTACGTGACTTTACCGAAAGAACCAAGAAGAGAGCTATCTAGCTCAGTGTGGCCTGAACCTGGTATGATGAAAACATCGCTAGCAATAGTTTAATGATGGACGTCGGGCCGCGCAGGTCAGATGGTGTGGATGGAGGGGTCGCGCTCGATGCTCTACCTCTGCTCGCCTCTCCTGCGCAGCCTGGAGGAGCTGGAGGAGCGCCAGCTGCACATCTCGGACATCGCGCCGCACGACGCCACACGGGACCTCATCCTCCTCAACCAGGCACAGCGCAACTCCCCCGCCCCCACCACCCCCCGGCAAAGCCGATCCACTCTCGGTGCGCCGATGGGATCCCACAGTGGAGGTTGGCCCGTGCATAATCTCCTGTGTACAGCCCTGGGCCAGTGGTGGAAATTCCGCCGGACTTTCATTGTTGATTTCTTCCGCAAAGTGGATACCTATTTTATCCACTCGGAGGGAGGGAGTGATGATGGGCTGAGTCAACACCTCCCCAACCTGAATTTGAACTCACGACGTTCTGCGTGCGAGCCGCTCGCTCTAGTGCTGCACAGCCACCTGGCTGCGCTGATGATGTTTGGAGTGGGAATATTAAAACTAAACTGTTAAAAACGTATTATTTTACCAGGTTAAAGCCCACTTAGCTATAAAGCTCTTTTTCATAAGCGACCCGGCCACAGATAACAGCTCAATGAAGTGGCTTATCACGTTGACATTTATGGCGGCCAGATACACTACACCACGTTGATTCAAAATTTGGAGGGGAAAAACCAGAGGACACGGACAAAAATCCACGCGACCGCCATGGGGAGAGAGACACGCAAACTAAAAAAATACAGGCGTCAGGGTCGGGATCAAACCTACGACCTCCTTTATACCAGGCGAGGTAGTTAACATCGCGCCACCGTGGCGCCACATTTGGTGCCCCACTCACACCGATCTAGACTCTAATAGATCCGAGTGTTTGATTCGGTGTTTGACCGCTTTTGGCTGGCAAGCTGAAGACAATGACTCTGTGAAATTCACAGACTGAGACTTAACAGAGCCACACATGAAGATGGAAGGAAACAGGAGCAGAGTAAGAGAGAGAGAGAGCCATACGGAGGGACGGTAGAGGAAGAGCTGTAGAAGGAGCAGGAGTGAGACTGAACGAAGCAGGACCATGGGCCGGGGAAACAACTCGATGGCCAAAATGCACTGAGGAAAGGCCATATGAGACAGGAACTCCGGGGGCGAGATATTAACTACCTCGCCTGGTATACAGGAGGTCATGGGTTTTGAGCCAGACCCTGTTGTATGATTGGAGTTTGCGTGTTCTCCGTGTGGTCGCGTTAATTTTTGTCCGCGTCCTCCGGTTTTTCCCTCCACATTTTAAATCAAAATCATGCATTTAGAGTATTGGTTGCTTTCCGTCATGAATGTTAATCTCTGGCGAGGTCGCTTTTGAAAAATAAAAGAAAAATAGCCCAGTTTAGTTTTTTTGTTTAAAATGCTGACTCAATTAACACTACTCTCCCACTCCCCCTTCCCTCCTCCCCTCATCCCCCCCACCCCCCACCTACCCCTAACCCCCCCGCCCATGTCCTGCACTCCGTCAGCAACGTCTGGCCGAGATGGAGCTGTCCACTCAGTTGGAGCGCAAGAAGGAGGAGCTGAGGGTCCTCTCCAAGAACCTGCAGGTGGAGAAGAAGAAGACTGAGGCCCTGCTGTACGCCATGCTGCCCCACCACGTGGCCAACCAGCTCAAGGAGGGCAAGAAGGTGGAGGCGGGTGAGCCGCTGTGGCCTGCGTCCGACGGACGGACCGACGGACCAATGGACCAACGAACAGACCAACGGATGGACGGACCGACAAATGGATGGACCACTGCACGGACAGACGGATTAATAGACTTATGGACGGACAGACCAACGGGCAGACGGATGGATGGGTGAGTGACGCCGACTCGTAGCACATCTTAACCGCCGCTCTGTGCCACAGGGGAATTCAAGGTCTGCACCATCCTGTTCAGCGATGTGGTGACCTTCACCAACATCTGCGCCGTGTGCGAGCCCATACAGATCGTGCACATGCTCAATGCCATGTACATGCGCTTCGACCGTCTCACCACCGTGCACAACGTCTACAAGGTGAGCTGCGGCGGGCGTGGTGAGCGTCTCCCGCCCGCCCGCTCTCTCGCTATTCTGGGTTGTTTGTCGTGGCAAATTTGGACTGTTACGCTGGTACACGTGGCCCATTCTTATCCGATAACTTACCAGGATTGTGTGCGTGAATCACAAGGTACACGTTTACCCGTTGATACATCCGCGGTATTAACCAGGGCGGCCGGCGGGCTGCAACCCTGCTCGGGGCTCGGCGTTGTGACCGTGGACGGGCGGGGGCGGGCGGTCGGTGTGGTGGTGGGGGTTGCCTGTTGCTGTGGCACAGGTGGAGACGATTGGCGACGCGTACATGGTGGTGGGCGGCGTGCCCATTCCCGTGCCGTCGCACGCCGAGCGGGTCGCCAACTTCGCCCTCGGCATGGTCCTGGCGGCGCGCGAGGTCACCAACCCGGTCACCGGCAGCGCCATACAGGTCACGCGTCAATGGTTTCTACTTTATTTTGTCGCGTCGTCTTTCGGTCGCATGCGTGACGCTTCGCGCGTCGGGAACCGGAGGCGCGCACTCAGGGAAGACAGCCAAAGATCGGCACCAACAATCGCCCAAGCTCTGCGGTTTTATGTTGGCGCCCCTTGCCGACTCCGTTTAGTAAAGAGTTTGGTTTTTGAGCACGTCGTGTGAGAGGACAACGCTTAATCCCCGTACAGATGGGATACAGATGGTATGATCAGCTTCGTAGTGAGCAGTGTTAATGGAATCAGCGTTTATTTAAAGTCACAGTCTTCATCTAACCTGTGGAATTAAAGTCTCAGCCTGTGGATATCGTCTAGTCCGATACCTGCGAGTCTAGTCGACTAAACCAGCCAGACCGTCAAAATACTCTCATCACCCTCTGCCACTCTCCCTCCAACATATACAACCAATCACTACTGCGCTGTGAACCCGGCATACCGAGTTCGACGTTCACGGTGAATAGTAAACGCGCAGTATTCACCGGAGCGGCCTGCCAGAGCTGAACCGCGCACCTCCACGACAACTGGCGAACGCGCCCGTCACGACCACACATGCAGTGCACACACGCAGTGTACACCACGCATGGTTTGCACACACGTGGTGTACACACGCGTAATGTTGCGTACACACGTGTAGCGCACAAATGCGTTTGCACGCGCGGGCGTGTTCACACACGCGCACAGTCGCAAACCCGTGTCCGCGCCGCTCTCCTCGCCAGATCCGCGTGGGGATCCACTCGGGGCCCGTGCTGGCCGGCGTGGTCGGGGAGAAGATGCCGCGCTACTGCCTGTTCGGCGACACGGTCAACACGGCGTCGCGCATGGAGAGCCACGGCCTGCCCGGGCGCATCCACCTGAGCCCCAGCACCCGCGAGTGAGCGGCGCCGCACGCGCCCGGGAAACAATGCACCCAGCAACACCGCTGCCACCAATCGGAATTGAAACAATTTCAGAGTACTCTGCGTGTGTGTGTGTACGTGTGTAATAGGATCGGTGGCATAGCGGTTAGCGTGCTGCGATACGAACCCGGTGACCCGGTTCGATTAGCGCCCATGGCCAATACCAGTGACAATTATCTGAACCGGTCATGGGCCTCCCCTAGGTCGACTCAGCCTCAAATGAGTAACCTGGTGCGGTGTAAAAACCACGCTACTGGGAAGACAAAGACGGTGCTGGCCACGTGTACCTTGCTTGCCTCTGTTAAGGCTATACGGGGGATCTTTGTTTTTGTGTGTGTGTACCATGTCCCATCTCAAATATGTGAGCTGATCATGGCTTTCCTTCCCATTCAGCTCTGTTCGTAAATATTTACTCAACAACTCTGCATGGGATACTTCCTCCCAGTGGCATCCAGTCGTTCAAATTGCTCACGAAGCAACCTAATTCTTGCGGTACTTCTAATGTTCCCGGTCAAAACCACGTTTATGTACGTACGTTGAACTTCTTTCGCACCATACGTAGCCAACCATGCGAAGTGGAGGCTGTGGGCAAAGGACAGAAAACTAAATTATAATTCAGGAATGAAAATAAAAATTGGACCGTGACACCGGCACACGATGTCCTACACTTTTTTAAATCGACGTCACGGTACAACAATGACGTTAAACAATGACAATGTTGATGTTGACGACGATGATAATAATTCCCGGCCGAGTGCGACACTGACGAGCCCCCCCCCCCCCACCCCTCGTGCATGGGCTCCAGGGCCCTGCAGGGCAAGGAGTTCGACGTGGAGGAGCGCGGTGAGATCGAGGTGAAGGGCAAGGGGCGCATGTCCACCTACTTCCTGCTCGGCAACCGCGCGGCGGGCGAGCAGGAGATCCTGGGCCGCACGGGGCCCCTGCCCATGGCCGAAGCGGGCGGCGGCGCGGAGACGGCCACGCACGCGGACGGTAGGTGGCTCGCTCGCTCACCCCCGACACGATCGTCACCGCGGATCGCTCGCTCACATATGCACACTCACACATGCACGCTCACACATGCACGCTCACACATGCACGCTCAAACATGCACGCTCACACATGCACGCTCACACATGCATGCTCACACATGCACGCTCACACATGCACGCTCAAACATGCACGCTCACACATGCACGCTCACACATGCACGCTCACACATGCACACTCACACATGCACGCTCACACATGCACACTCACACATGCACGCTCACACATGCACGCTCACACATGCACGCTCACACATGCACGCTCAAACATGCACGCTCACACATGCACGCTCACACATGCACGCTCACACATGCACACTCACACATGCACGCTCACACATGCACGCTCAAACATGCACGCTCACACATGCACGCTCACACATGCACGCTCACACATGCACGCTCACACATGCACGCTCACACATGCACGCTCACATATGCACGCTCACACATGCACGCTCACCGCGATCGTCATGGCGGATCGCTCGCTCGCACGTCAGTCATATCACCGTGCTGGCGAGATGTTATTTCCATAACCTGGTAAGCAGAAGATCGTGGGTTCAAGTACCGACCCTGATGCCTGCTGTATATTTGCATCTTCTTCCTCCCCGTGGTCACGTGGATTTTTGCCCCGGATCCTCCAGTTTTTCCCTCCACATTTAGAAACAGGCTGCCATACATTGGCACACGATGATGAGCCACTTCGTTGAGCTATCATTTGTCATAGCCAGGTCACTTCTGAAAAAACAGCTACACAGTTCAGTGGGCCTTACCTGGTAAAATAAAAACATAGTTTAGTTTTAGTCAGGGAACTATCACAGCAATGGTGGGAGAGTTTAGGGGGGTGGTTGCTCTCCGTTAATACCGGCCCGCTGCACCCGAGAGACCGACTTGACTGCGGTGCCCCCAGAGCCTGAGTTCGGACCCAGGCTATCAGTGCTGTGACCTCCGGGGTCACGGGGTCACCTCCGGACGTGGTGCGCGTGTGTCCTTTTTCTTTTTTCTTTCCTTCCGCTAGATGGACCGGACCGGTGGAGCGTGCCCATGAAGTACTCGGACTCGGGGGACTCGACGTCGCACCTCGGAGGCGCGGCGCACTCCTCGCCTCTCCGGTCCGGCACCGGTGCGCGGTGATGCACCACAGCACCTGCGCCAGGCTAGGTGCCCTTTGAGGCTCTCGCGGGAAGTGTGGCAGGCGCGCTGCTGGCAGGAGGTCACTGGACGGGCCCGGGGTGTTAGGGAGTTAACTGCCTGAGACGACTGGCATATGATCTAACAATGTCCCCAACACCAGGTACTCATTTGAGGCTGAGTCAACCTAGGGGAGGCCCATGACCGATTCAGAAAATCGTCAATGGTGTTGGCCGTGAGCGGCAATCGAACCCGAGTCGTCATGTTCGTAGCGCAGTGCACTAACCAGGGCACTACCGCTCCCCGCTACAAAGACAAAGGTCCCCCCGTATATACTTTAATAGGCTGTGGGGGAAAGTGCTGTTAGCGAGCACCTATGAAGGCCGGAATGGCACACGAGGGGGTGGGTGCTGTTTGATAAACACCATACCAGGTACTCATATTCTTGGTTCTTTCGGTAAAGTCACGTAGAAGGGAAACAATAAAATAATAAAAGTATAAAACAACAAAATTCTCACGACGTTTCGATTGCAATACAAGAAATCATCATCAGGTGTGAAAATCACGGTAAGAAAAAAATATTGCTGTGGTTTTCACACCTGATGGTTATATTATTGTTTCCCTTCTACATGAATACCTGCAGTCACGAAAGCTTTCATTTAAAACCGTCCCAGGTGCTCATTTAAGGATCAGTCGACCTAGGGGAGGCCCAGGGCTAGTTCAAATATTCGCCACTGCTATATTGCTCGTAAGCAGGAATCTAACTCGGATCGCCAGGTCCGTAGCAGAGCCCCGCCACCGATAACCCTAACAAAATCCCGACGCACACACGACTCTCCAGCTGGGACAACTTTGCAGTGCTCGAGTTTCCACAGACCGCACCTGCGGGTACTCCTACCTGCTCCAATGCGCCTGGCAAACGTGAAATAGTCGGCTGTAGCCCCCCGTAGCCGGCGCTTCCTTTAGTGATTCACCTCGTGGAGGCCCTTCCCGCCAGCAGTAGTGAGGGCGTTCAATTGCAGTGCTGCGACTTTATCTCTGCACCAGCTGACCCAGACTCCATTGTCTTGGGACTCTGGGTAAGGTTTTGAGTCTTTTACAAATTCTATTGGTAAATAACCAAAACAAATAAGCAGACTATATGTCCCCTTTCTATATTTATCTCTTCGTATGATTAAAACATTTTTTACGTGTCCCATCCACCACACGACCCTTGGGAGTGGAATTACTTTTTTAACCGGCAGCATCGGTTTAACATGAAGCAAACTCTGGACTGCTCAGAGTCAGGCTTCTTTACAGCACATGTATCTCTCCAGTGCAGAGAGGAGGCATATTGTCTGATTAATTCGTTAAGTTACTTATATTCTCCACAGTGACACAAGTGGCGATGTTGTGCTGGTAATATAGACATACATGCAAACAAACATGCTCTGATAATATAAGCATTGTCTTTGAAACTGATTGGCCTACAGGAGAGACAGGCTTCTTTATGGCCTAGTCTCACCAGCAGTGTTGGACCAGAGAATGCCAAAAAAGGACAAAACAGTACAAAGACAATGCAAGTTTCAGAACAGCTCGGGTCGAGCAGTTATATCTATCAGACTTTTCATTCAGTCAGTGGTGCCTTGCTGATACCGCCGATGGCTGCGTGACACAGGAACGCCGGCGCGGAGTGGCCAAAGCCGTGCGAGTCTCCACACCGAGCCCTTGGCGGTCGGGCCGGACGGGTCAGACGGGCCCAGAGCGACCCCGAAGCCCCACGAAGGCCCCGTGGAGGCAGCGACGAGGATGAACGGCTCCGCTTCCCCTGTCGACCGCCACTCGCGCCTCTGCTTGCTCCTCTGATATCCAGCATGGCGTCCTCCATCCGCTGGACTGCTCGTCATCATCATCATCGTCGTCTTCATCGTCGTCGCGAGCATGCGACGTCAGCATCGTCGAAGCACGAAGCCACTTTAGTCCGCGGGCCAAGCAGAAGCTGGGCCACACGTTGTTCTTGTTGTTGTTGATGAGGTGGTTGAGGTGGTTGAGGAGGTTGAGGTGGTTGGGGCACCAGCACCATCGGTTTCTTTCCCTTTGACCAAGCCAGCTGGAAAGCGGCCCGATCTCGTCACATCTCAAAAGATAAGCGGGTTTCAAGCCTGGACACTGCTTGGATGGGTGACTACCAGGGGCGGCGTGAGATGGGAGGTCTCTGAGTCGTGAGTGGATTTCCCGTGGTGATTGTCCGGAGATTACTGAGAGCATCTGTGAAGTTCGCCCCCCCCCCCCCCTTTATCCCACCGCCCCCCCTACTTGCTCACGGATGAGTGGAATTCCACTCTGGCGACGTTCGACCTGCGCAGCTACTGCTAACTCGCTCCCGGAGCTGACGGTGGTGCACCACTCTGTGTGTTTAGCAGCGTTTCGTCAACTGGTGAAGGGAAGGAAGGGCAGGCCCCCACGAGCGGCCTGCCACGGGCAGAGCCTCGCGGGTGGCAAAAGGGCAGTGCAACAAAACATGCCGTTGCATCGTACCCCTGCACTCCCGCGTCTATGCTATCCGCTTGTACCGACCCGCACTGACCTGCGTGACGAAGTGCGGTGGAATTTTGCAACAGCCCGAACAGGCATGGGTAGGCCCTCGTCTAGCAGCGGATTGCCAAAAGGGCCGCACGTGTGCGACATTCCCAATAACCAGACTTGCACTCACGCCGATCATTAATGCAACGACGTGCGTCCACGTCGGATGCGTTGTACATCACTGACCTGTACTGGACCCTGTGTGTGTCTGTACATTGGATGGATGGATGGAAGTGGAGTGGACTTCATAAATGTTTGGGTTTGGGCCACAGTGGAAAAGGTGGAAAAACCCAAATCCTTGCACTGGCCTGCATGCGTGCGCACTCGGTAGCTACTACATCACCGAGTGTGGCGATTGGTATCTGCGTATAACTTGTCTCGTTAGGCTGTATAGAACATGTGCTGTGTGGTACCGAACCACAGCTGTGTAAATAACCTCTCTACACCTACTGCGCTTCGTCTTAGCAACATATCATGCAGACGGTCACTGCCGTCTGATATTAAACTGCGATCGTCACGCGTGATTATAAACTAATGCAAATGCTCACTGCATATTTATGTAAAACAAATAAAGCGTGTTTTTGTTTCTCTAATTGTGTGATCCGAGTCATGTGAGGAGATGCATACATTTCCCATTGGTTAACGCGGCAGGGAGGATTGCATCACCTTGTGTGTGCGAGAGCAGGCCCGGGAGATGACATCACCGGGCTACTTTTGAAGTGCCTTCAATCATCGTCATCATCATTGGCCATTGTCTATCCGCTGCTGGATGAAGGCCTCCCCACGCCGTCGCCACCACTCACAGTCAGAGGTGGATCGGGAACTTCCCCCAAGGGGTGGCCGTCCAAAAATGTCAATCCAGTAGGGCTGTACATTAATAAAAAAAACACTCAATGTATGTATATGGTCAGTACAATAATCCCCCCGATTTACGTGTCCCCCTTTGACGTCGTTTCGCTAACACGTCGTCACTTGACTGATGACCACTACCCAATTGGCGTGGGCCTCTACACCATGCTTACGTCCTCTCTCGTTATCCGTCGCCTCTCGGCCTCCTCCACCACCACCACCCACCGCTACCCTGTAAACCGCTTCGATTTACGTAGTTTTGATATTCGTCGTCCCACCTTTCGGGAACGCAACCCTGACGTAAACCGGAGTATGACTATCAATAAACACCCATGTTTAGGGTGTAAAGGAGGCGGGGGTGGGGGAGTGATCTCCCCCATTACCCCCCCCCCCCCCCCCCCACTGGATCTGCCACTGCTCACAATATATTTTTATTTTACCAGGTAAAGCCCACGACCTGGCTATCGCGAATGATAGCTCAACGAAGTGGCTTATCATCACATGGAAATGTACAGCAGCCAAATTGTCTAAATGCCGTGATGTTGATTTTAGATGTGGAGGGAAAAACCGGAGGACCCGGAGAAAAATCCATGCCACCACGGGGAGAGAGAGAGACACCGCAAAATTCACATATCCAGCAGGCGCCAGGGTCGAGATGGAACCCACGACGTCCTGCATACCAAGCGTGGGAGTTAACGTCTCCCCACCGCGGTACCCCGGTCGCTTCTCCCACCAATCTCGCTCCTGCACGCATCTTAATGCTCCTCCATTAAGATGAACGCAACGTAATGCTCCATATCATTGCTCCAGTTCAATGATCCATCTCATTGCTCCATCTCCGTGGTGGTCGTTCTCTTGGATGCGTCCTCCGTCTTTATCGGCCTCTTCGTCCGCGCGAGGACTGCACCGTTTATGTGCCCTACAAATCGAAGAGTTCATCGAGAATAAATACAATTTTACATACACCTTTATTAATCTCGGATATGTCGTTAGGAAGTTGATATGGCAAATTTTACGATGTGTTTGTGTGTGTGGAGTCATTGGTGAATGGGACGAGACCAACATCTCGCACACGCTTGACCCTGGTTTAAAATCACAGGTGGCGGACGGTACCCGGATTCAAACCCAGACACTCGGTCAGTGCGTCGATGATTTTCCACATTAACGACGCGTGCGTCTCGAGCGATGGAAACCAGCGAAGAAGGCACGAGTGTGCCTCCGTCCCTGCTTGGAGACGAGAAGTCCCCAGGTTCTGTCCTCTGTGTTATACTCGGGGTATTTTTAGTTTGTTGTCGTAATGTAAATTGGCCGAGCCGACTTTCGATAAGGAGCACAAAGTCGTCCGGTGACCTGTTCCACATCAGAGGTTTTCCATGCAGACATTTGATTGGCAATCCCGTGAGAGCTCATTGAAATTCAACGATGCGCGCTGGAAGGGAAAGATAAATAATGCACACATCTGGGCAGGTGGAGGGATTCACCTTCTTGCACGGCCTCATTATTTATTTGAATTGCATTTAAATGTAAACTTCGTTCAAACCAGAGCTATCTCAAGCGTCTTGTTTTGATATGGCGCCACCATACCCCCCCTCCTCTCCCACCCCCTCCTCCAATCCAGACCCTCATTTCTCCTGCACGGTATCCATGCCGCAGCCTGCGTCGTTACCGCCTGGTTCAATTTCCCAGGGAGAAAAAAATCGCGTTTCGCGTCGGCGCCTCTGAGCCGCCGTACCCCCCCCTCCCCCCGGACTGCTATTCCGCGTGTCATGGCGGCGCCCGTGGGATCCACGTGCGCTTTGGCGCTAACGGAAAGCGTCCTGGGCGCTTTCGCCTTCTCCGCTGGTGCCGCTCCGGGAGGTCGCGAGGCCAAGTGGCTGTTGCCAGAGGCGTTGGCGCTCGCCAGAGACCACGGCCTCTTCTCCAGCGCGGAGGTACGCGGTGGGGGGAGACCCGGGCCCAAGACACCGATAGACTGAGCGGCCGGGCTGGGAATGAGGGCGAGCGACTGGGACCAGTCCGTCTCGCCGCTCCGGTGCCGCGACCGTGTGCTTCAAGGAAAGATGTGACCCGTGTCACACCGAGTGAGGGACTGAGAGAGGAGGAGATGTGTCTGAGGATGCAGATCCGTGTGCTGTTCCCAGATCCACGTGGCGCGTGTCCCAGTGTGGTGACATCGTAATAAATTAGAGGTTTAAGGCGTCCTTGGACAACGGATCTTGGAGAGAACACCGTGCATGTGTAAATGTCGAAAGTGGTAAAGTGAGAAGCAAGCGAGGAGAGAAATATTAAAGAGGCCGAAAGAGAGAGCGAGAGAGAGACGGAGGCCTATTTAAACACGTTGCTGTGGTCTTCAACCGGGACTTAAAAGGTTTGCAGCGACTACGAATTCCCCAACCTTTCCACACCTCCCAAGTTGCCGGATGGTCAGAGAGTCATCACGACCTGCTCAGGCCGCGTGCGTGGTAGGCCCTCATCTAGCAGTGGGTTCCGGGGGGGGGGGGGGGGGGGCTGTACGTGGAAATCCACCTTTTTTAAAATCCTTTATATTAAGTTCACTTGCTTGCGTGCTTGCTTGCTTGCGTGCTTGCTTGCTTGCGTGCTTGCTTGCTTGCGTGCTTGCTTGCTTACGACAGTGCAAATCTTTTGGTCGTTTTTTAACCCACTTCCCGTGATCCAATCGAGCTGACACACAGACTCGTTGTGCGTGACAATTAATTTTCGTGAAAATATTTTTCCAAAATTTTACACTGTTTAGGGAAAACAAAAATATTTAATTACCAATTGCTTAATGGTGGCAGACAATCATCTGACCCATAGGTGGCAGCCATCTCAAGCCAGAGGACGAGAGGACTCTAGCCGCCCGTTTCATGATGGCGCAAATGTTGACTAACCACATGGCATGAAATTCCTGCCCCCACGCTGTACAGTGGAGACTATTTATAGAGCAGTTAAATTGAAGCCGCCAGGTTCTTGAAAGTGGTAAAACGGGTCAACGCTAGTGCCCTCGGGAATATACGGGGCATGTCAAGAGGTGATATTTCATTTTTAAATCCTTTATATTAACTTCACTTGCTTGCTTGCTTACTCAAGAAAAATAGAAATGAATAATAAAATGAAACCGATGCCACGCATATAAAGGATTTATAGTGAAAAACTTTGTTTTTACGGGTTAATTTTTTGTGGTTTGCCCACCTCATCTCAGTCACTGCATTTCCAATACTCGGCCGCCCCCTCGCTCTGGGGATGTCACAAGCAGAGCGGCATGCTTCCATGCTTCGCCGATCGAAGCAATTCCCGAGCAAATGTTCTGCTCTCGCCCGACGCTGCGTGAGACCTCGCATCGCACTTTTTAATTTCTCTGCAGTTTTTTTGGGCCGTACCGCGTGTTGTGTCCCGGCATCGTGTCGAGCCTGATTCAGTTCGTGAAGGAGCTCCCGGTATGTGGAGCGAAACGTCGGACATCGTGCCGAACAACACGGGTGTGCAACCTTGAACAACGGCGATAATCTAAGCAGTAGTAAAACGCTTTGGAACAGCCCATATGGCAAACCTGTCAACCCACACGGGTTACCCGTATTCTTGTACAGGGAAATTCAGTTTTCAGGTCCATACGGCGTACAGCCATTTCAATACGGGCTTAACAATTTTTTGTTGTCAATTTGTGTTTCTTCGTTGTGATGGGACCTTTGTAGGGTGAATGTTGGGATTTATAAGGGCACGGGGTGACCAATAAGGTCTCAATTCGTGAGTAATAAGATAGGCACTGATAAGGGGTTGACAGGTAAGATATGCAGCTACCTGTAATTCCTTCCCTGGTAGGATTCTCTTTAAACAATTGCTGTGATCTGCGTGTAACGAATGCGTGTACGTGTGCTGTCGATGAGTTGCCATATTTGCTCTGTGTCGCCATACAGGGCGACGCATCTGTGAACCGCTGCATCAGCCACTGCAACCTGTGTTTGAACTCTGTGAAGACGAGGTGAGGGCACGTACTGTCACGTGGAACTTTGCATCAAACGCGATGGCCACGTACACCGGGGTGTGGAGCATTGTGGTTAGCACACTACGATGTGGGCCCCCCCCACTCCCGGTCATCTCCGTTTTGATTCCTGGCCACAGCGAACATCGGTGGCGAGTTGAATCTGAACTAATTCTGGGCACTCTCTCATCCCCTTCACCGAACCCGCACTTAGGGGCAGTCCATAAATGACGTCACGCACCAAGGGGGGGGGGGGTGGTCAGACATTTGTGACGATGTGTGATGAGGGGGGGTTGAGAAATGTGACGTCACATCAAAATGCGCAACTTTAAATGAATATAGACAACACGTTCTACTTAATTAAATAGACTATTTAATAAATGTTTTTTCCTACAACATCAGAGTGCAGCGCCACATTTAATACGCACTACAATGACAATAGTTTAAAGCGATTTGAAGCATTTTTATTTTGGGTGGGGGGGGGGGGCAGAGCTTTATGACGTCATATTTGAGCGTCTGACTTTTTGTGACGCCGTGTGACGAAGGGGTGAAGTATGGTTTAACAACCCTGTGACCGACACGGCATGGGGAGTCCATCCAGAAGTGGGTTAAATGAGAGGTGCCGTACAAGTCCCCACACTGTTAACGGTTATGATATTAAGACAAGTTACAATGCTGCCGCTAACAGCTTGCGTGAACAAAAAAATACGGAATGTTTGTTCAGTAAAAATAATTTAAACCTCAGTTCCATTGATATATCTGCATTTGGTCAATTGGTGTTCAGTTCATTTTCACAATGCCGTGCAATTAGTGAGTTGAAAGGTTGCACGCTATGGAACGGTTGTATTGGCTGTGTATTGGTAGGGGTGCCACTCAATGTCCGTATGTGAAAGTGACGTTACAGTTTTCTGGGATCTCACCCTCCTCTCAGTTTCATTCGCATGGTTGGCTACGTCCGGTGCGAAATAAGTTTAACATAAGTACAACAGACTCGATTATTCGTACTAATGACGTGGAGGATGACCGTGGATGATTCAAAATCTTGGATAATCCAAAAATATAACCATTTTCCGCAGATCTCTGTGCCAAAAACCACTAAAATAGATATAAATTATGTTTAACATTGAGAACGAATACTAACGATCGATGCCCGTGCTCAGTGATAACACTTTCCTGCTCCTGCACAGCAGACTCGACCCACTATAAGTGGACAGCAAAGCCACACCAATCAACATCAACCAAACTCCACACACTGTTGTAAAGATATGCAACTACTGTACTGTAGGGGGGATCATGTGGATTTCGGATTAAGCGGAGCAACATTTCTTCAGTTTAAGCACGTGACTTGTAATACATATTTCCAAGAATAACAATGTATAACTGTTTTTAGATTATTAATTTGGGCTTCAGGGAAAATCCACTAGTTATTAATTTACGTAAAAATCTCAGGTGTGCGGTTAATCCACAAATCGGATAAACCGCATTAGAGTCTACTCTAATTACTTTTGGTGTAAAATTCAACAGCTGATAACATTTACAGGCTGCTCAGTGTCCCGTATTCTACTCTGCGTCTATTCCTCCACTATGGCTTTGTGTGTATTGACTGCAGTGCATTTATTAGCTCGGGCGAGCACCCAGTAACTATCGATGGATCGTCTCTAAACTCGCAGTGCTTCAGTTTAACAGGCGCATGAATAAAACCAGGAGGCCGTGACCTTGCAATTAACGCAGTTGAAGTTCGATTGGTGCCCGACTGTAGAGCTGCTACATTGCCGTGCCGCGTAACACACCCCTAGCAGTTTAACACGTAGCGGTAGGAGGCTTTCGCGACCAATATAATCCACAGTAGACGTTCTTGGGTTAGATCGAGTAAATATAAATGTGTCGTTAATCCCGCCACCACCCGACAGCCAATTAGTAATGTTGTGTCACGTAAACAAAACGCGCCAATTCTTTACGAGGACAGCACACCGTTAGGCGACAGCCAGAGTCGGGGATAAATTCCCCTCCTGCTTCAGTCTTATCCCAACCGGGAGAGAACTAAGCCGTCGACTGCGCGGCTCGTGACATATCTGCGTAGCTAACAACGAGTCAGTATCGCTTTATAGGCGCCTTTTCACGTTTGCACTTCGGTGCGATAAAAAAAAAATCTACAATTTTTAGGCATCATAAAAAATATCTCGGTATGCGCGGAACACGGGGATGTCGTCTTCTGTGTCTTTTTTGAGGATGTGATGTTTGTTTGTTGTAGTACAGAGTTAGACTGGTGGCCTAATCGAAGTTGTCTTGTGGTTGTTGTTTGACTTGCATCCCACTGGGATTTTTGCACACAGTGTTGGTGTACGGTGCTTTTTCTGCAATATTTTGCTGTCTTTTCTTGGATTTTCTGTTTGCACATAGTCACTTTAAGATGTTTTCTTGTTCATGTTTTTGTTTTTTGTTTGTTGCGGTTGCACCCGATTCAAGAGCCGAATGGCTCACATGGCTATACCTAATAAATGAACTTGAACTCTCAAAGTCACCGTAATTATTGGGGTGGCTGCGGCTGCAGGTGGGATGGCCTCTCCCTGCTGGCTGCGCTGGTGCACGACTGCTCCACGCAGGTGTTCGTGCAGCACTGCTGCGCCTGGCTCCGTGCCGTCACACAGCTGCTGCAGGTACCGATGTCCCTCGCCACGTGGGTTGAGATGTTGAGATGTTAACTACCTCGCCCGGTGTACAGGAGGTCGTGGGTTCGATCCCGACCCTGACGATGCCTGCTGCTGTATATTTGTGTGTGGCTGGTAGATGTTAACTACCTCGCCAGCTGTACAGGAGGTCGTGGGTTCGATCCTGACCCTGAAAATGTCTGCTGCTGTATAATTTTGTGTGGCTGGTAGATGTTAACTACCTCGCCTGGTGTACAGGAAGTCGTGGGTTCGATCCCGACCCTGACGATGCCTGCTGCATATTTGGAGTTTGCGTGTCCCTTTCCCCATGGTCGCATGGAATTTTCTCCAGGTCTTCCGGTTTTTCCCTCCACATTTAGAATTAACGTGCCTTTAGAGTATTTAGCTGCTATAAATTTCCACTTGATAAGCCACTTCATTAAGCTATAATTTGTGGCCAGGTCGCTTCTGAAAAAAAAGCTACATGGCTCCGTGAGCTTTACCTGGTCAAATAAAAAAAAGTGTTTAGTAAAAAAAAAGTTTTTAGTTTCACTGTGTTTTGAAATTCACCAGTGCGTTGGTGCCTGGCGGACGGAGTGCCGAACACACTGTGGGCGTTTGTGCGAGCATGGGGCTTCTCTTTAGGCCAAATCTCCGTGAAATGAGTCTCTGCTGTGGTATGTTCAAGACTTAAAACATATACGCAATGTCTACAAGGGAGGCTTTTTAATACTTTTCAACGCAGGTTTAAACGCGTTTATGCATCAGGTCTGTTCGTCCATCCGTGCTGGGGCGTGAAATACTCGTGAAGATGATCCAATACGAGTGACACTACGCTAAAGTTGCATCACTATCAGTCTTACCCGATTGCAGACCGGCCAAATTGATTCAGGGCTTTCTCCAAAGCTTGGAGAGATGAATACAAATTGCAATATGCATTCTGCTCCCACGGCCAACCAAGCCGTAGCTTCCGTGCCGCTAATTCGCTACGTCGGAGCGCATTGAGTAAGCCACTGCGCGCGTGCGAGGTTTGTCTTCGCTTGTTCCGCCTGTTGTGCTGCCAGCCCTATGAGCCGGAGGGCGGATTGGCGCTGGCTGTCAGAGTCCTGGCCGACCTTCTGCGATTCTCCGCGCAACTCCCCGAGCTGGCGCGGGAGGTGTCGCAGTCTCACCTGCCGGCGCTCATGTCGGCACTGCTGGCGCTGCGGGACCAGGTGAGACGGGCGGGGGGGGGGGGGGTGTGCACTGTAGGTCCACTCAGCATAAAATTACTAGCTGGTGCGGTCGGGCGTGGCACTGCCCACCGACCCCGCTCGCGCGCCGTGCCGCCCTTCAAAGGTGCTCGTCAACAGCACTTTGCCCCAACGGTCAGCTAAAGGCTATACGCGGGACGGGGGGGGCGCGCTTCACGGCCCACCGGCCGCGCCTTACCTGGACGCTCTGCAAAGGTTAGGAGCGCGAGCTAATTTTTTTGTCTCGTCGTGTCTTAGCGAGAGTGCATGGCGATGGAGGGGCTGCTGGCCTTGCATGAGATTCTACCCGAAGACAAGTGGCACTACCAAGGTGAGGTGGCACTACCAAGGTGAGGTGGCACCCAGCCGCTTCCCGGTGTGCGTCCACGGTGTTGGAGTGCCCTTGCAGTCTCGCCACAGTGGCCGGATAATAAACCGCGGGTCCCAAACGCTCGCCGCGCTAGCCGTGAACGTTGTCGACGTGTTTGTAGGGCAGCGCCCCACAGTGTACAACGCAATCTTGAAATACGCTTCACTCTTGTCTGAAGTAGGGACTTTACCCAAAATGTCACCCTTATACGCATTTGGTTATTCGGCTATATCAACGAATAATTTTCCAACTTTTCATTCTATAATTCGTGCTTGTCCGCCACCGCCAAAATAGACCCTCGGCTGTACGTGAGTATGTACGCATGTATATCGAACTTCTGTCGCACCGTACGTAGCCATACGTGCTAATGGCCATTGCGTTGTACAAACCGTCTGTCTGTTGCCGTCGCCAGGTGAAGCTGGAGCTGCTGTTCGTTCCCAGACTGACGGCGACGAGGCCGACCGTGAGAGAGGTGAGCGTTTCCCACTGCCCCATTCACGGTGGCACCACGGTGGCGAGATGTTGACTTCATCGCCTGGTATGCAGGAGGTCGTGGGTTCAATCCTGACCCATGCCTATCTCTCCGCTTGGTCGCGTGGGTTTTTCCCTCCACATTTCGAATCAACATCACGCATTCGGAGTATTTGGCTGCTAAAAATGTCCACGTGATGATAAGCCACTTCGTTGAGCTATCACTTGTGGGCCTTACCTGGACAGTGGGCGGGGCCACCCGGGCAGTGGGCGGGGCCACCCGGACAGTGGGCGGGGCCACCCGGGCAGTGGGCGGGGCTACCTGGACAGTGTGCGGGGCCACTCGGGCAGTGGGCGGGGATACCTGGACAGTGTGCGGGGCCACTCGGGCAGTGGGCGGGGCTACCTGGGCAGTGGGCGGGGCTCTCTGGGCAGTGGGCGGGGCTCTCTGGGCAGTGGGCGGGGCCAATGTGAGAAAGAGCGAGAAGGGGGAGGCGGAGGAGATGTCGCTCGCTGTGTGAAGTGGCCGCTGTTGCGTGCCAGCGGGCGGAGCGGGCGGGGACGACGGAGGGAGCGGAGGGAGGCGATGCTGGGTCCCCCTCCAACACGACGGGGCGCACTGCTCCGATAAACACGGCGGCAAAATAATGAGTTTCAAAATAGATTCCTTCACAACATCGGGCATCGGTCGATAATTAATATCCCCCCCCCCCCCCATGCGTGTGCACAGCTGGCGCTGGGCGGATTCGTGCTGCTGCCGTCGCTGGGGGGAGGGGGCCCCACGGGGGGGCAGAAGCACGCGGAGGCGTGGACGCAGCAGCTGCACGACGTGCTGCGCTCGCTGCACGCGGCGCTCGCACGCCTCTACGACTCCGGTACCACCCCCACCCCCTCCTTCTCAACACCATCGCATCCTCTACTCCGCTTTCCCCGCCTCCCCTCCACCACCCCCACCCCCCCCACCTCTGTCTCGCGGTGTCATCGGCGTGTTGAGAATCCAAACGGCCCCTGCCGACCTCGCCTTGACCTCGCCTTGACCTCGCCTTGACCTCGCCTTGACCTCGCCTTGACCTCACCTTGACCTCGCCTTGACCTCGCCATCACCTCGCCTTTACCTCGCCTTGACCTCGCTTTGACCTCGCCTTGACCTCGCCGTCACCTTGCCGTCACCTCGCCGTCACCTCCGCAGCCCAAGAGAGTTGTGAGCCCGGTACGTTCCCTGGGCAGGAGACTGCCCCGGCAACTACGGCCCACCGCCGGAAAAGCGTAGTGGGCGTCGGCAAAGCGTGGCGGGCGTCGCATGTGCCCGGGTCCCGGAGGACGATGTCTCTGCTGCTGCAGGAGCGGACGAGGCGCAGGACTGGGGTCCTGGGGTCCAACTGGCACTCCCGGAGCCACAGGCGGACAGCCCCGTGTACCTGCTGCAAGTGAAGCAGGAGTTCTCCTGCCTTGCCCGGGCCCTGGTCGTCATGTTGCGGTACGCGCGCCTCGCTCTGCGTGTGATTCGTGCGTGCTACGTTCACGTGTCCAGCGTGCGCGTCTCTGTGTGCGCACACGTATGTGTTAAGAATAGGGAGCACGGCTGTTGAATCTGACGGTCATCTCAGTCGGTCAACCCGCACCTCCGATTAGCACGATTGGCTACGTACGGTGCAAAATAAGTTCGTTTTACGCGGCGAGATGCTGTATGGCGTAGCACGCCCGTCATCCTGCCGCACTGGCTGCTGGCAAAGCCATTGGGTCAAGGTGCAGGCCAGGGTGGCGCACGTCGCGTTACAGACGACGTTATTCCGAAAATGGCCTCGCGTGTGTCGATAAAAAAAAGCGTGCGTTATTCCAAAATGGCGTACCGCAAAAGTGCGTATACCGAGGATCGCCTGTATCTGAACCGGTTGTGGGCCTCCCCAAGATATCCTCAGCCATGAATGAGTACCTGGTGTGGTGTGTAAACATCGCCACTAGGGAGACAAAGGCGGCCGGGAGTGGTGCTGGCCACCCAACCCCCTCTGTGTGCCGTGCCGGCCTTCATAGGTGCTCGCTGAACAGCACCTTGCCCAAAGGCTATACGGGAGATCTTTGTCTTTGTAAACAATTGCTGCTGCCACTGCTGCACCCTTACCCTGCTCACTGCACCCTCACCCTGCCCACTGCACCCTCACCACATCCACTGCACCCTCACCCTGTCCACTGCACCCTCACCCTGCCCACTGCACTCTCACCCTGTCCACTGCACCCTCACCCTGCCCACTACACCCTCACCACATCCACTGCACCCTCACCACATCCGCTTTCCGTTTCGCAGGGAAGAGTTTACGGCGCCGGTGAAGGTGCCGGCGGAGTCAATCCTCGCCCTCGTTTGCCGAGCGCTGGCTATCTCGCCCAAGCGCCTGGTACGCTGCCGAACGGCGCGCGGTGTTAACCGATTCGTACCGCGAGGGGGACGAAGTGCGTGGTGGAATAGGGGTCACGGTCGATCGCCGACTCCCGAGGGATGCCGTTATGAGCAGTACGGCCGAATCCCAAGGGTGACTTACAATATATTTGTGTGTGCCGTGTGTGCCGCGTGTGTGTGCGGCGTGTGTGTGCCGCTTGTGTACTTGCCGTGTGTGTGTGTTCCGTGTGTGCCGTGTATGTGTGTGTGCCGCGTGTGTGTGTGTGTGTGCCGTGTGTGTGTGCCGCGTGTGTGTGTGGGGAGCGGTAGTGTAGCGGTTAGCGCGCTGCGCTATGAACCCGGCGACACGGGTTCGATTCCCGCTCACGGCCAACACCAGTGACGATTATCTGAACCGGTCCCGGGCCTCCCAAAGGTCGACTCAGCCTTAAATGAGTACCTGGTGCGGTGTGAAGTAAACATGCGCAGTGGTGCTGGCCACCCGCCCCTCCTTGTGCGCCGTGCCGGCCTATCGCAAGGCCTTGATAACAGCACTTGCCCCAGCAGTTTGTGATGTCTATACGGTGGTTTTCTGCCTTTGTCTTTTTTTCAGGCCGCGGTGGGGGAAGCCACTATGCAGCTGCTGGTGCTACCCTCGGTCCACACAGACGCCCTCTCGCTGCTCGAAGCCCTCATTCGCACGTGAGAATAACACCCGGATTGCAAACGCTCAACGCGCGCCTCACAGCGCCCGCCGCTTAAAGCTCGGGGCACGCCGAGCGGAGCGTCGTCCGCGCGTTGGTGTTGAACTCGGTCGCGAGACGTCTCGAGCCACCGGTCAGGAGGGGAGGGAGTGCAGGAGCCGTGTCGGTCGGGATGCGACCGACGCGGTGTAAATGCATCGTCCCGTATAATCGAGACAGGGTTGTGTACGTGTGTATGTTGAACTTCTTCTGCGCCGTACGTAGCCGACCGTGCTAACCGGTGCGCCGTACGCGCGCGCACAAGTGGCCCGTCCGTGCGCGCCGACTGAGCAAACGAGCGGCCTCCCTGCGGACTTGTGGGCCGAGCGGCGCTGTGGGCTCGCGGCGCGGGGCGGGGGGTGTGTTGGAGTCGGGGCCCGGCTGGCAGGGCTCACTGCTGGGAGGGAGAGAGGGAGGGAGCGGTTGCGTGGGGTCTCGATGGACCCGGCGTGGCGAGGCGCGAGGAGGATTACGCTGAGGCTGCCACGCGCTTGTTTACCGTGGGGGGACCCTGGTGGGATGGGGGGAGGGAGCCGGTGGGGCCTTGCCGACCGTGCTGACTTTGATTTCCCAGGACGCCTGAAGTTTCCGCGAGTTGCTCTCTCCGTGGGATCGGGAAATGCAATTAGAGATGAACAAATATTAATTTCTTTCTGTTTGCCGCGCCTTTGCTTTGTGCGTTGCGATCGTGAACGTTGAACAAACGACCTGATTGGCGGCAGCGTGAGAGCTTGGCCATTGACGACCGTGCAGTGTAACGCACGCGTGAACTGGGCCTCACCTAGGTGGCCTCAAATCAGTACCTGGTGCGGTGTGTGAAGATCACCACTGGGGAGACAAAGGCGGTCGGGGCGTGGTGCTAGCGCACACCACATCGTGTGCCATGCCGGCCTTCATAGGTGCTCACTAACAGCACTTCCCCCAGCAATCTGTTCAGGCTACACGGGGGTCTTTGTCTTTGTGCGTGCGCGCGGCCAGGTGCGGCAAGCGGCTACTGCGGTTCGGCGACGTTATCAACCGGGCCTTCCCGCAGGTGCTCGGCACGTGGAGCCCGCCGGCGGAGACGGGGGGTGACCCCGGGCGGGAGAGCCCCTACAGGTGGGACAGCCCCTACAGCTGGGAGAGCCACGCGCACCTGTCGCTTTACCCGCCCGCTAATTAGCGGCACGGCAGTGCCGATCGTTTTGTTGGCGACGGACGACGCCGGTAATTGGCGCTCCGGGAGACGAGCTCTGCCGTGTGGCAGCCGCCCGGCGCTCTGCACGGTGACGATCTCCGCCGTGGTAATTGTTTTACGCTTTTCCCAGCAGAGGGTTCGGATTGTGAACGCGCGAGCTCCGGGGCCGTCTGCCCGTGAACACGCGGTCACGATAACTCTCGCGGAGACGATGCAGCTCGACACATTCGCCAACAATACCGTGGCCTTGAAGGGGGGAAATAAATAAATAATAGGGGACGTTTCTGCCAATGGCCATTCTTCATAGCACACACTAAGATAGGCCAGATGTTCAATACCTCGCCTGGTATAGAGGAGGTCATGGGTGCTGTATATTTGGAGTCTGCGTGTCTCTCTTCACGTGGTCGCGTGGATTTTTCTCCGGGTCCTCCCGTTTTCCCCTTCAGATTTAGAATGATGCATTTTAAAGTTTTTGGCTGCTATGAATTTTCTCACGCTAAGCCACTTCGTTGAGCTGTCATTTGTGGCCAGTTCGCTTCTGAAAAAAGAAAAAAAATTGTACAAATATTTTATAGCAAATAAGGGTTTGGATACGACTACACTTGGTTCCTTGGGGCCTGATGAGACTTAAATGTTTTTGTGAAGTTGATAGGCCACTTGAAAATGGCATTGTTGTGATGTTTGTTGAAGCCGGGCATTCCGCGCGACCCTGCGGCACCCGCCGTGCTCCTCCGCGTCTCTGGATCGTGAGCTGTGCCGTCAACCCCCCCCCCCCCCCCCCACCAGCGAGGTGCGAGTGCGTGCGTACGGCGCGCTGGCCGCGTGGGTGGACGTGTGCGGCGCCACGTGCCGCGTGCTGCAGGACGAGCTGCAGCACGCGCACGACCTCCTCCGCCACCTCGTCCGGGACGCCTCCCCCGCCAGCGACCTCATCCGGGTGAGGCCTCTGCCGCCCGCTGAATCGGCCACGTCCTGTTGTCCGGTTGTGACGGCGATGACGATGATGACGACAACGGGGGAAACGCGGACGGACCAGTGGGAGGGAAGATCGGCGGCCAAAATCGGCGCTCCCAACAATTTCCCGAGCTTCTGAGGTCCTAGATTGGAATGTTGCTGAAGGGAGGTTGGGCTTAGGCATAGCTGACACATCCCTCTCCAGTTCATCATTGCCAGCACCGCCAATTGACAATCTTCGTCTTCATTCACCACCACCACACCCCCCCTCCCACCCCATTCCTCACCGAGTCTCGCTTGTATATCTGGTGAGCTTTGTTGGGTCAGCGTTCGCCATGTCAAGAAGCATGAACCATCACACGAACTCGGTCATCTTTGTAGCGGCTTTTTGCTGGTCATCGAACAAAGACGGTCACCGCATCGTGCGCTTTCAGATGCGCTTCTGCGGCCGTCTGGAACGCTCCTGCTTACAATATTAGAAAGCCACCGGATCTATGCATTTTTCAATTATCTGAATTGAAAACTAATTTCTTTAGAACTGCTTTTTGTGTTTCATTTGTTCTTCCCTCGCACATCCGATTAGCACGGTTGGCCACGTACGGTGCAAAAGAAGCTCAACACGTACACACACACACACGCGACGGTGTAAAAACCCCAGCAGCCGGAGAACGGCCACTGCGCGTGCGAGGGGAGAACGCTCGACGCCTCTCCCTCGTGTTTCCCCACCGCCCGCAGCTCCAGGTGGGGCGGCCGCGTGGTGACCTCCAGGTGGGGAGTCGCGCCGGCAAGCGGCACAAGGGCGGCGCGCTCGGCACCGGCGCCACCGGCACGGCCGGGCCCAGGAAGAGCGACGCGCAGGCGGGGGCCGACGTGTGCCTGGCGGCGCTGCACGGTGAGCGAGCGTCGCGCGGTCCATTTGAGCGCCGTCTCGAGGGCCGTTTGGCGAGTCCGCCTGCGTGAAAGTTTTGGGAGCAGGACGCCGACGCACAGCAGCGGCGGCGGGGTCCGACTATCCCTCGAAGGACGTCACGGATCCCGTGACGCCCTCTACGCAGCGTAGCACTTTGGCGGTCGATGCGCTCGCAGTGTTTCGGACCGCGGGCGTCTGTAAAGAGCAGAAAGCTGCCTCGTGTCAGACAGCGCCATATCGTGTGGGGGGGTGGTGGGGGGGGGGAGGCAACGCGTGCGACCGCGTCATTCACATCACCCTTACGGACATGGCCGCCTGGTTACACACAATCACGGTGGCTAGGAGATGTTAACTATCTCGCCAGGTACACAGGAGGTCGTGGGTTTGATCCCAACCCTGACGCCTGCTGTTTATTTGGAGTTCGGGTCTCTCCGGGTCCTCCGGTTTTTCCCTCCCCATTTAGAAACGTTGATAGTATTTGGCTGCCATAGATTTCCACGTGATAACCCACTTCTTTGGGCTATCATTTGTGGCCAGGTTGCTTCTGAAAAAGAGCTACATAGCTCAGTGGGCCTTCCTTGGTAAAATAAAAAATAGTTTAGATCAGCTGCGATGGAGACGAGTTGCCGAACAGAGCCTGAAACGTGACTGACGTTGCCACCTGCTGGTTCGTATCGCAATGGTCGGCCTGGAGTGGCACGGCCACGGAGTGGGCACGAAGTTCGCGCCGTGCACAGACACGTCGACGTCACGCGCGTACGCCTCTTTCGTTCAATCCGCTGCTGGATGAGGGCCTCCGCACGAACGCCGCCCTGGCCGCGGATGGTTATTTTGACCTCGGCAGGCTGGTCAGTGCGGAGTTTGGTGAGAGCAATGGGGGACGGGGGGGTGGCATAGGAGTAGAGTACAGTACAGGAATTGATTTTGTGGCACTGACTGCTGGCCAACAAAATTCTGGAGTTGTCAGGTTTCGAGTTAACCACGTCCGTGTCGCCCAGACGACGGGAATACAGCGGCGACTCTACTTACGAACGAGTTAGGTTCCCGAGGTCTGTTCGTAAGTCGATTTGTTCGTCAGTCCAACTGTACTCCTGTCGATTTCAAACATGCTGTACGGCGTGTACACTTAACACGGGGAATGGCCTTAAAAGTCGTATCATCTGTAGTTGTAGACGCCACCGGTACTTCACATTCTGCAGATGTAGATGCCACTGCCGCCATCTATTGCGCGACGGTTGAATTTACAACTCTCGGTCCGAACAGGCAACTGGACACACGGACAGGTTTGTTTCGTATCTCTGAACGTTCGCAAGTCGAATGTTCGTAAATAGAGGAGTCCCTATATTTATGTTTTTCGGGTGACACGAAGACGCATAACAGGCAGAGCCGCCGTGAGAAGGGGGCTAACCCGTCTCCCATCCCAGGGACGATATGCGCACTCACGTTTCCTCCGCGCACGGAACATTTAATGGCACAAGCCACGAGAGTGCGATCGGTTCCCTGCAACCCAAACTACGGAGCGTGCAGTAAACCCACACGAGGTCGATTCCGGCTCGCAGCCACCGCCTGTATCTGATCGGGTCCGGAGCCTTCCCCCTAGGTCAACTCGGCCTTAAACGAGTACCCGGTGCGGTGTGTAAACATCGGCACTTGGGAGACAAAGGTGGTCCAGGCGTGCGGTGTCGACCACCCCTCCCCGCCCCCTTTGTGTGCCGTGTCCATAGGCGCTCGCTAACGGCACTTGTCCCCCACCGCGACAGCTCGTCCGAGGCTATCCGGGTGACCTTTGTCTTTGTGTGCGTGTGTGTTGCAGCGCTGGTGCGGGTGGTGCTGCGCTGTGGGAGCTTGCTGCCCGCCAGGGTGCACAAGGTGCGGTGGTGGTGGGGAGTGCCGCACGCTGACGTGGCTGGCGGGGCCCAACCAGCTTTGTTGTCCTGATTTGTTGGTGTTCTGATGTGTTGTTGTTGTCATTTTTTGTTGTGATTTTTACGTTCTGATTTGTTATTTGTTGGTGTTCTGATTGTTCTGATTTGCTGTTCTGATTTGTTGTTGTTGTCGATATAATAACACGTCTGCCGAGAGCAAGGGCAAAGGCCCAATGCGTCAAGCGGCCATCAAATCGACAGGCACCGTAATCAAAGTTGTAACGGACGAGAGTGTGGTGGTGTTTCTCGAGTCGGGTGATTGTGCCTCTTAAGAGCCTGGGGGGGGGCGGGGTGAGGAAGAGACGAGTGGAGCGGTGCGAGGGTAGAAGCGGAAAGAGAAGTGAGGGTGACCTGCAGTGTGGTGGTGTTTGAACACAGTGGTGGATGAGCGAGTGGGCAAGTGGGTGAGTGTGTGTAGGCCTGCAGTGTGGTGGTGTTTGAACACAGTGTGGTGGATGATTGAGTGGGTAGGTGGGTGAGCGAGTGGGCAAGTGGGTGAGTGTGTGTAGACCTGCAGTGTGATGGTGGTTGCTGCCGGGCGAGATGAACTGGTCTGGTGTCTGGTAGAACCGAGAGGAGTCGGCGAGGAGAAGTTGACGGGAACGCAAATCGACACTGAACCATCGAGAGCAACTGCAGAAACTCACCCCTAACGTGCGCCCCCCCCCGCGCGCCCCCCACCCAGCGCCTGCACGAGCTGGCGGTGAGCTCGGCGCTGGCGCTGCAGGCAGGCGGCGCTCCGCCGCGCCCCCTCGGCGCGTGCCCCGCGTGCCGTGTGGAGCTCTACCGCCTGCTGCTGCACCTGCTGCTGGCGCCCTCGCCGGCGCTGCCTCCGCCGCTGCAGCCGGCGCTGCGCATCCTGGCCCGGGGCCAGCGTGACGACAGCGCCCAGGTTCGCCGCCGCCACCGCGTCCAGGCACCTCCGGATGTTGGCGCGCGATGGTGTGGGAGGGAGGGGAGGGGGGGGTTGCTGTCTACTAATGAGTTTGCCGCTTGCGCGGAGCCGTGCTGTCCCGTGCTCGTTGTGTTCATTGCGTCCACGTGAAGCCGGATAGCGACACGCCGGCTGGATCCGCGCCTGGGCACCACAGCACCGTGAGGGTCGCGCGAACACGAAGCGCGCCGCTTCATCGTCGTCGTGGCGAGATGTTAACTACCTCGCCTGGTATACCGGAGGTCGTGGGTTCAATCCCGACCCTGTGACACCTGCTGCTGTATATTTGGAGGTTGCGGCATCTCTCTCCCCGCGATCTCGTGGATTCTTCTGCGTCCTCCTGGTTTTTCCCTCCACATTTAGAATCGACGTGCGTTTAGAGTATTTGGCTGCTGCTATGCATTTCCCACGTGATAAGCCACTTGGTTAAGCTATCATTTGTGATAGGTCGCTTCTGAAAAAGAGCTACATAGCCCAGTGAGACTTGCGTAATAGTATTATATATATAGTAATATATACTATATATATAGTAATAGTATTCGCCCTTGTGTTTGTCGCGACGCAGGTGTCCGCGTTTTGCGCCGACGCCCTCGTCGTCGCGAGCGCCATCGTCCACCCGCGGGTCCCCTCCCTGCAGCTTCCCGCACCCCCAGCCGCGCCCGCAGCCGCCCCTCCGCTCGGGGAGGCGGCCCGCGAGTTCTCGTGGCCCGGAAGAGACCCCGAGGGCGGGGCGGGCCCCGACGCCGAGGCGCGCGACGTCCGGCCCGACGACCGCTCCCCGCTGGACCTGTCGCGCAACGACGCGCCGGGAGATTGGGCCCGGCCGGCCGTCCCGCGCGGCTCTTCCGGTGGCGACTCCGGCGGAACGGCGGGCGCCGACGGCGGCGCCGAAGGCCCGGACGAGTCCGCGACGATCGCGGACGGCGTCGCGGCGCCGTTGCGGGCGACGGCCGTGGAGCCGCGCCGAGTGGAGGACGAGGGAGCACACCGGGAGAGGGCGGCGGCGGCGGAGAGGGCGGCGGCGGCGGAGAGGGCGGCGGCCTCCTCTCTGCGGTCCAGTGGAGGGATGCAGGAGGAGGACGACGTGGAGGAGGGTGGGCGAGAGAACGGCGGCAACGACGGCAGAGGATCCAAGCGCAAACGGGGGAGGGACGAGCGCGAGGCTGTGGCTGCGAGCGACGAGGTGAGCTCCGCGTGCGTCGGCGCCTGTTCACGATGCGGGTCCGGTGGCTCCCGGCGCATGCAGCTGAAACGTCGGGCGTCTTGCTGAAGGACGTGCGTGGTACGACCCCGAGAGCGCTGTTTTGACCTCCCCCCCCCGCGCCGCTTGCTGTCGTTTTGGCAGAAGCACGACGGCGGTTGCTGCGGCGACGATGGCGATGATCGCGATGGCGGCGACGACGACGACGACACGATGAGGACCATGCTCGCCGACTTTGTGGACTGCCCACCAGAGGGCGAGGGGAGCTGCCGCCACCGCGAGGTCGTCGCCGCTCGCGATTAACTCGCCCGGCCGAAGCGCCGGCACCCCCCGCCAGCTCCTGGAGGCGCTGCGTGGGGACACGCCGGGAGGTGGGGGGGGAGCGGTGGGGCGCACGCAAGACGCGAGTTGTATATTGGAACTTCTTTCGCGCCGTACGTAGCCAACCGTGCGAATCGGAGGTGCAAGTTCTGCGGTTGCTTTCGATGCTTCAGTGTTGACTCGCCGATCCCTCTGCCCACATTGAGGACTCGGTTTTACCAGACACTGACTTTCCCGTCTCGACCGACAGCAGTGCTACCGGAGGACACACGACCGCGCGCACGCACGCACACACACACACAAAGATCACCTTCACAGACTGTTGGGGCAAGTGCTGTTAGCGAGCAGCACCTAAGAAGGCCGCCACGGCACACGAGGGGGTGGGTGGCCCGCATCACGTACCGCCATTTTTGACACACCGCACCAGGTTCTCATTTGAGGCTGAGTCGACCTAGGAAGAGGCCCAGGCCTTGTTCAGATATTCGTCGCTGGCGCTGACCTTGAGCGGGAATCGAACCCGGCTCGCTGGGTTCGGAGCGCGGCGTGCTCGCCGGCGCACTTCCACTCCCCACCACGTGCACACACGCGTCGCCCGCCGTGTGTCAGCCTGCCACTCTGCTAGCGCCGCCGGGCGCCAACTGCTGCGCGGCGTCATTTGTAGTCGGACAGAGCCGGCACGACTGTGCGGCGATGCGCTCTCTTGGTCGCTGTGCTGGGGCAGCGACATCCACGGAGCCTCCCCAGCGTAGCGTGTGCCGGGTGACGAACAGCATGCTCCACCCCCATCGTGTCTGCTCGTGCGCTTGTTAAGCAACAGCCCTTGCCCCATCGCTCCCCGCAACTTTCTTTTTAATAAACAAACGCGCGAAGTGAATCTCGTACCGAGTTTTATTTTTGTTTATCTCGAGACAGCACCCCGTTGCCTCTCTACAGCGGCGAGTCGGCGGTGGAAACTCCACATTCCCGTGGAAGGATCCGTGCATCCCTCAGGACGGGCACCGGTGAATGCCCCCCCCCAAAAAGTGGCGCCGACTTTATCGACCCTGGAATGAAAACGGTCCCAAGTTGGACCCTGGGCCACGGACCCGCCGAGAGATGGGTACAGATCGCCAGCGAGATGAATCGTAGAGAAGATAAAGACGTGATATAGGAAGCTACAGGAGCTAAATCGTCTAGATTGAAAACTTATTTCTTGAGATACACTTTTTGTTGATTAGTTTGTTGTCATTCCCCCTGCACCTCTGATTAGAGCAGTTGGCTACTTAAGGGTGCGACAGAAGCTGAACACACGAGAGATGGGAGCTGAGCAAGTTGAGAGAGATGAGAACGGTTATTGTAATGCGAGCGAGAAAAACCGGGCGACGGATCATGTGGCAGTTACGAACCTGGCGACCCGAGTTCAATTCCCGCTGACGGCCAACACCACCAGTCCTGGGCCTCTGCTAGGTCGACTCGGCCTCAAATGACTACCTGGTGTGATGTGGCACGACGTCGTAACACGGAAGACTTCGCCGGACACGGCGACGATCGTCCAACCTCTTTATTCCATCGTTCACATCCCGGCCCGGTTTGGACAGCTCCCCTCCCGTGCAACACGGCCCCTGTGCCTGCCGGCTGTGTCCCTCGTGACAGATTTGGGAGAGCCGATCTCGAAATGGGTCATGGGGGGGGGGGGATGGTGGTGATGGCAGTTGTGATGGTGATGATGGTGGTGATGGCAGTTGTGATGGGGGGTGATGATGATGGGAGTGGTGATGGGGGTAGTGGTGATGATGGGGCTGTAGTGGTGATGGGGGTTAGTGGTGATGGTGGTGTTAGTGCTGTGCGGGCTCCGGAAGCGCGTGACTCTCTGTCTCCGCCATCGTTTGTGCAATCCAGTCGAGGTAGTTGAGCACTTTGGTGTAAACTCCAAACTTCCCTTCACGCGCGCACCCTTTCCCCCAGCTCACCTGCACAGTAGCAACGACAACCACAACCACATCAACGACAACCACATCAACAACAACCACATCAACGACAACCACATCAACGACAACCACATCAACGACAACCACATCAACGACAGCAACAACACTCGGTGATCGTTATTTAGAAGCAGGAGAGAGACCTGGAGGCTGCTTTTCAAGGAAGAGCTGACGTACGAGCCATGTCTGTGTGTTTCTGTCTCGCCTCCTCGTCTCCATGTATTCCTGTGTCCATGTCTCCCTGTATCTGTCCCTGCATTTGTCGTTCACTGTTTCTGTCTCTCTGTCGCTGTCCGTCTCACTCCGTCTCTCGGTCTCTATCTACGCGAGTCGATGTAGCTGCTGCCCCGTATATGGAGAGGGCTTATACCGTTACACAATGGGGACCCCCGGCCGGCACGAATGCTGCTGCAAACTTTAGCGACGCGTGGTCTCGTTGTTTACGACATCCTGAAACGCCCAGTAGCTTCACTGCGGCGCACGCAGAGTCTGGACAGCCCCCCCCCCCTCATGATGGACGGAGGCAGCAGCGGCAGCGCCATCGCACCAACCCGCTTGTCCCCAGAACGTCTGCTACAGGGACTCAAGTGGGCTGAGTCTGCTCGGTCCCCCACCCAACCAGATCCGTGTTCTCTCGTACACCCCCTCCGTCTGTGCCTTTTGCGTAATTCCTGCAGTCACGAAAGCTTTAAGTCAAGATGTAACCGCCTCTACGGGGAGGGTTTCCACACAACTATTAGATCTTTCAACAAACTTCGAGACAAGAAGGCTCATCTGATCGAGTGGCTCACTTTTCTGAAGAGATGCCACGACACCAAGGTAATACCGATCGCCTTCACACTCACATCTGCTGCTGTCACTTATCCCAATGCTAAACGGATCATGTTCAGGGCCAGCCTCGCCCTGATCTCAGAGAGAATAAGACTGCTCCGATTTGAACATGTAGATAACATGACAGCCTCTTCAGCTGCCTCAATGTCGGCTAAATGCAAGGATAACCTGATTTCCAAGTTCAACCTCCTCTCCAAGAAGAAGCCGGATCCAGACACTATAAAGTTAGATGGTGACAAGATTGTTATCAATCAGTAACAGCCCAATTTCCGACAGCTTAAACTCGGTTCTAGCTAAAGGGTTGAATTTCGCAGTCGCCCCTAAACACATCCCAGGTGATTATATGATTGCCCAGGTCGACGTAGCCCTTCAGGGTTAGGGACGCATTCCTGCCGACGTAGCAAGATCGGAAATCGCTGCAATCCTCAAAAACGCTAAGACACCGATTAGCAACATCAGCAAGGATGAGCGCCGTGAACTCTCAACTAAAAAAATTAACCCGTAAAAACAAAGTTTTTCACTATAAATCCTTTATATGCGTGGCATCGGTTTTATTTTATTATTCATTTCTGTTTTTCTTGAGTAAGAGTTTCATTTTTATCACATTGGTATTTTAAATAAAATATGACATTTTTTTTTTCCTAAAAAGTGGAAAATTTTCACGAAAAGAAATTATCACGCACAACGAGTCTGTGTGCTAAATGTCAGCTCGATTGGATCACGGGAAGTGGGTTAAAAAACGACCGAAAGATTTGCACGGTCGTAAGCGCGCAAGCAAGCAAGCAAGCGAACTTAATATAAAGGATTTAAAAAGAGAAATTACATAGTCATCCTCTCAGCCGACAAGGGCAATGCCACTGTCATCTTGGACAAACCCACATACAATAACAAAATTCAGGACCTACTTAATGATGGCAGCTATACCACGATCAATAGAGATCCTACCAACCGCCTGGTTACGAAAACCAACAACATCATCACTGATTCGACATCTTTAATCGAACCAACCAAGCGCCTTGCCTTAAAACCCTCGGCTGCTAGACCACCCAGATGTTATGGCTTACCAA